GTTCTGCAATGTTACCTGGGATAGGCTGGATACCTCAATTGGTAATGCTTGTATAGCATCCGGGAGTACAACACCCAGGAGACATGTTCCAGTCCACCCTGGGGAAAGGTCCTTTCTAGCAGTATTATTACACAATCAATACCACCCTTTCCCTTCTGGAGCATTCCAGTAGCCATTCCAGGGTCCCTTAATCTGGAGTTACGTTGTCCATCTAGTTTAGGTAATGTCCTACTAAGATATTACCAGAGCTAAGTTTTACCCAGTGCCAGTAGGTATTATCTAAAATCCTGTTTCCCCTGCAAAGACATACCACCAGGAGGAAAAGACAGTTCATATGTACCCACATGATTCCTTCCAGGCTGTATTTGTTTCTTTGACAAAGCAATTGGTAGGACTTGTAACCAAGTTAAAGAAGTTTCTTGATGTATTTTAATTGTAACTTGAGTGTCTGATTCATACATTCCACTTCCCCACTAGCCTGAGGTCTGTATAGGGTATGCAGTTCCCACTTGATTCCCAGACGCTCTCCCACCTTTCTAACTACTTATGCAACAAAGTGCAGACCTCTAGCAGAGGACAAGCCTGCTGGTACACCATACCAGGGTATTATTTGATTTCAATTTACTACTTCATAAGCCATATTTTTGCAACAAGGGAAAGCCTCCAGCCAACCAGAAAAGGTATCTATTAGTACATACATATATATATATATATATATATATATATATATATACACATACCTGAGCTCATTATGCTGTGGCAGTTCTGTTAAATCCACTTGCCAATAGTCTCCTGGACAACTGCCTTTGTTGTTCCAAGTGGGTGGAGTGTCTCTTAGCGTGTTAAAAAACTTCACACTCTTTATAACACTTTTATAATACCAGCCATTTGCATACTCAGAACTTGAAGCTTTAAAATTTCAGTCGTTGATTCTGTTCCCCCATGTGTTGCCTGGTGGTTTTCCTCTCATAAGAGGCTGGGCAATTATTACTTGTTTGGTGTAACCCACCATCCTTCATCATTCTTCTTGGCTAATTTCTCATTCTTTCTTTGATAACTTGGAATTTCATTATCCAAGCACTGATACTTATGAGACAATATTACTAAAAGGTCCCCACCCACAGTTTCTTTGACTGCTTTGTTAGCAACATGATTGCCATTATTCGCTGGAGTGTTACCAAATTGATATGCCCTAAAGCAAATTTTGCCTTTCTGACAATTCCAGAACTCTCAGTAGCTCGATCATCTAGCTTGGATTCCTGTACTGATGTGTTGGGAGAGGATGCAGGGCTTCAGCCTCTATTATCTTATGTTTGATTACCACAATGTATCCTAGTTTCCAGTCTCCATTTTCATAGAGCTGGTACCATCCGTGGTTTGTAGTCTACATCCTTCAGGGGTGTATCTTGCAGGTCAGTATGACTGGAATACACCTGCTCAGTAGTCTGTAAACAGTTGAGTCAGCATTTCTGCTTCTACATTGGTTGTCAAAACCACTGCTGGGTTCAAAAGATTAGTTAATTTCAGTTCAGTGTCCTCTTGTTCTGAAAGCAGTCTGGTATTTTAACAGCCTGCTTGGGTAAAGCCAATTGACTGTTTTTCTGTTCTGGAATGTTTGTTAGCATGTCAAGTACAAATACAGTCTGGTTTTGTCCCAAAGTATTCGATAAAATTTCGTATTACAGGCTCTAGTCCTTTTCTTGCTTCCAGTTTTATAGGATATTGTTTCTGTCTTAAGTGGTCTCATATTTGGTTTCAGATGAATAGTTACCAGATCTGCATTTTGTGATCATCCCAATGCTCCAGCAGAGCAGCCAATGCTAGTGGGGGGTATTCTCCACTTCCTCTGGTATATCCGGCTCAGTGGCTGGTTTCTGTAACACAAGAACATGGGCCTCCACAGCCTTTCCATCAGGAACATATATCTGAATTTTCTTTCTTTAAACCTAATTTATGCGTGTAATTTCATCAGTATATCTCTATCCAATAACAGCACAGGGAACGCAGGCATGTAAAGAAATTGATGGGTCAACATCTGTTTGCCAATTTTAAAGTTTAGAGGTTGGAAGAAAGGCCAGGTTCCTGTCCATCCTGTGGCACAGTGACTGAAGTGGTTTGTTTGCTTAATTGCCCTTTACAAGTATTTATAACAGAATAAGTAGCTTCTGTTTCTACAAGAAATTTTATCATTCTCCAATCTAACTGTAACCAGGAGTTCTGCTGGGGAGGGTTTTGAATCTTCCCCCGGTTTTCCTCAGCCCTCATCTAAGGTAATAATTTTCTCTGCCTGTCCTGACATTCCATTAAATATCCAGTGTTTATTTTTATTCTGACAGAATTTGCTCTTCCAGTGCAACCCGTGGAGTCTGTTCACAAACCTTTCATGTAATCGTTCTTTCCTCTCCTCCCGGGCCACTTCCCCTTTCCTGGTTTCTTGTGTGGTAGCTGGAGCCAACAATTCTCCTTTTTTTTTTTTTTAACCCTAAGCATTCCAGTTTTACTCAGGAGCTTATCTTATGCCCCCCACATATATAATAACCAATTTGTAGTTGAAATCTGACACACTATAACCCCCAGTACACACTATTGTATTATATTAATTATCAGGGACTCAAACCCCTTCTCACCACCATTTGAACTATTTCAGGGAACTTGCACCAGGGCAGTGGTAGTCCAATTGCTATAGGTCTCTCAGGCCACATTCATTACTTTTGCTAAATTATGTGGGTCCTTTCCTTCCTTCCACCGATTCATGATCACTATTAGTGTATTTATGCATCACCTCTTTTAATCTTTCCACAAATCCAGAAGGCAATTAATTTATATCTTGCCTTATTTCATATAGCTTAGACAAGTTCAGCTGCCTTGGGGACGGCATTCTTAGTACCAAATAAAATCCACCTCTGATATTGTTTCAAAGCTTGCCTGTCCTAGTCCCGATTAGGGCCTTAGTTAGGATCAGTGGTAGGTACATGAAGATTCACTGTACCTGCCAATGTGCCTGCCGTTATTTGTTGCTCTACTGCGATCCAAGTGGTACAAATAATCATATTCCCGCCAACACCCTCAAAAGCATGATACATAATTACCAGCTACTTGTTTCCAAATATTCTAGTCTATAATGGTAAAGGAATCATTATCATGATTGGACCATCATTGCCCACGGCTTCTCTTAAAGGCACAATCGGAGTTTCCCCTTGTTTTCCACTAGTTTGCCCTGCTGTAGGGCAAAATCCTTCAGCCCCCCTCTGACATCTCACTTTCCAGTGCCTCTGCCTGTTCTTGTGCTTGATTTTCATTGTCAGCAGCTTCAGGGAGGGCTGCCATCAAATCCAAATCCTCCTCTGCATTCCTCAAATGTTTAGTGTATAACTGCTGCACAGAGAGCAGCATCATTTAAGCAAATTTTGCTGTCTTTCTCCAAAGGCAATACTAACAGGTCCTGGAGGGCAAAATTAAAACTACAGTCCTTTTACCATTACAGGGGGTTTCTCAACATGAAAAACATTTCCACATAAGCTACTTCATCCCACTTTCCTTCTCATCTCAAGAATAACATCACTTGTAACAAAGTATTATAATTAATTATGCTGTTCACAGGCCACTTTTTCTCTAAATCCAGTTTGTAAAACGGCCACCACTGATAACAGTATTTTACCAAAGTCTCCCGAGTAACCGAACCACCCAGGGATCCACCGCTTTGTTCTAGAGTCTCCCGAGGAACCAAGGCTCCCAGGCGTTCACCAGTTTGTTTCTAGAGTAGGGGCAACATGCAACCCAGCAGGGACCTTTTCAGGACCCCCACTTTGGAGGCAGTGGTACCCTTGATCCTGACCTCCGCCCAGATACCGGAGTCTGGACAACCAGAACCAGAAATAGACTACCTTTACCCACCGTGCAGGTCTCTTTCTGGTAAGGGACCAAAAAGAATGCCTTTTAAAAGAAATAAAATCAAGAGTCTTACTGAGGTCCCGAGTCGGTCCAGGGAGCTGTGGTTCCTTTCAGGGAAACTCCCCCCGTCCTGGCATGAAGGTCCCAGAGACTCCCTGGATCTGTGGGAAACAGGGCAGAGGGTCCCGTAAAAGCCAGTCAGAGCACTCTTCAAGACTCAATTTGGAGTTCAGAAAGCGGCGCTCTTCATTGTAGTGCTGGTCACACACAAATTGTTCTGCAGAGGTGAGCACACCTGATACTTGCCAGCAGCAGCTATGTATTTTGCATACTCGTATATTTACAGTGTTTTCAGGAACTAATTAACATTCTAATTACACACGCACTTTATGCTGGGGGGGGGGGGGTGTCTCTGGTGGTCGCTGATACTCTTCCTCTCTGTCTTTACTGAATGACCTCGGTGCTTGCACATGCTCAGAAGGTCCTAGTGCTGAGTTAGCAGCTGGTGCATCCTTGCTTCTGTTCTGTTCCAGGTTCGCTCTGCACTGAGTTCCACTCTGCTAACTTAAAGTCTGGCATCCTTGGTCTTATTTACTGTCTCCTTAGTTGTTATCAGTCCTGTGATGTTCCTTCCCCTGTTAGCCAAACATTCCTTTCTCTCACATGTTAGTAAGTTAGGAAAGTTTGGTCTGTTTTATTCTGTTAAAGGCACACGCACTGTTGTTAGTTTAAAATTTAAGCCTACAAATGGTGACAGAGCAAAGACATGGAAATAAGCCTTAAACTCTCTGCCAGCCCACCTCATCAAGCTGCTTTCCTGGAGCCTTATCAAGATCCTGCTTTCCAACCCACCTCATTAGTTTTGCCAGGGCCAGAAGGAGTCTGATAACAAGGATCTTGGCTAGGTGGGTTTCACTTGGCATGTCATTTTTCATCAGGTCCATTATGCATATCAGGTTTGCAGAGTACCTCACTAAATAGTTTCAGCTGTTAAAAGGTCAGCGTCCTACCAGGACTTTGTATATAGGTGAGTATATATAGTTTTAAAATTTTGGTTGAAGATTTTTAAATGTACTTTATTAATTGTCTAATTTGCTTTTGTTCTTAAGGTTGTGGAAAATGTCCTAAAAGTAAACCCTGTTTTGGGTCCTCAAATGTTTCAGCCCCTTCTCCCATCAATATTCAGGGGCATTATAGATGGGGAGGTAAGAGTTACTCTAACTACACTCTACTTTTCCTTTTGAACAGGCAAGTACCTTCAGTGTTCTGGCCCAGTTCTTTCATATTGGTGTTGCATTTTCTCTTGTTTTAAGAGCGTCTGATAGATTTCTCACAACTATACAACTATTTTAGAAGACTGTAAAAGTAACATAGTGGTGCAAGAGTTAAAGTAACATACCCATCACTTACTTTATCATCTAGTGTTTATTTTAAGAAAACACAAATTTTATTCTGCCATTCCATCACTGTTAACATTGATAAGGTGCTGACTTAGACCCTTTGTACTTGTTGGAGTTTTCTGCTGAGATTTTTCAAAGATACTTGCACTACTCCTTTTTAAGTGTGCCTACACCAGAGAAAAAATGGACAAGGAGAAAAATGATTTGACCTTTTTCTATCTGATATATCTAATATGAAGAGCTGAAGGATATGAGAATGCTTTATGTAAGACAGGGGCTTTAAGATTTTGCTTAGTTAGGTGTCTTAAGTTCTTATTTTTCTCTCTCTTTCCACTCAACAGATTTCCATGTTTGATAAAAAGGAGTAAAATCCAATATGCTTTAACTGTGTTGAAGCAGGAGAGAAAAAAATAATTAACAGGATCAGTGGGTGGAATTCTCTACGTTTTTGAATTTTTTGATCAAAGCAATTCTTTTTTTCAAAGTTGAAGACTTTCAGAAAATTTGGTTCCCAATATTATTGAGTTACATGAGATGCTTCCAAGATTAAGTCAAGTAATACTACTCAGCAATGTACTTTTTGCTGTACGGAACACAAAAAACACAGTTTGAACTTGTTTGCAGTTTAAGAAGATGCAGAACTGCAGAGTGGATTATTAAAATGTCTTCTGATTTAAAACTGTAACAAATTCATTGCTCCCTATTGAAAAAGGTATTAAACTGAATTAACATTTTCAGATAAATGTTGGGATTTGTTTTTCAAGTAGGCAGTTCTTCAAAATACTTAGTTATGTTGTTAGATGCCAAATTTAATACACAGAAATCTGTAGCTTCTTTTAAAATAAAACGTAATAACAAAAAGATAATAAACTTACGAGCTTATTAGTGTATCCAGTTAATTTGAGACACTTGCAAATTATTTGCTGGCAAATGTATTATCGTTCCTCTCAGTGAAATATGTAACAACAGTTTCAGAAATATTAAGTGCTTCCTAATGTTACTAAAATTGTAAGTAACGCTTTAGCGAAAATCCACTTTGAAGGTAATCTTTTAACAGTACAATATACTGTTTATTCCTTAAGGTGCAGGTTTTTAAATTTAAAATAAAATCACCTTGCAAGATGTCTTGGCTCCTCAGGGAAGACTGATTTTGAGATTGCTATAGTTTCCCCATTGTAACAATGAAGACACTTTGGCAGTGATTGCTTGCTTAGTCTTATGTTCTTAGAGGCTTTTAAATTACAACTTGTCATTTCAAAATTAATAAATGCATGCAAGTATTTTCCATGTGTTTCTGCTCTGTATGTTAAGTATTTTTCTCTTAATTATACTAAGCCCCTCCCTTTGTTTTGATTTACGTTTGTTTCAGAGATACCCAGTGGTGATGTCTACTTATCTGGGGATCATGGGCAGAGTTCTACTGCAAAATGCAAGGTTTTTTTCATTACTTCTGAGTGAGATGGCACATGAATTGGGTCAGGAGGTAAGGATTTTTGTCTTGGTATTTCGATTCAATTGCATGCTAGTCTTGCATTCTTTTGAACTGAAAGAACTTTTTCCTCCGTTTGCCATGTTTGTTCTCCCCAGGTCCTTCCCTTGAACATCCTTTAACAAGTTTTATAATTTCCCACGAATACCTTAAGTCATCTCACTATAAGTTTTATCTAGCCTCTAAATTATCTTCCTGCTGCATCCCACACTAAATAATATAAACACTTCTAGTTTGCATGGCATTGCAATGTGAGAGTTTCTTTCCTTTGTTCCATCTTGATGGGTCTTACACCAAGGAATAATGGTCTAATCATTGTCCAGTGAGTTTCTAGGAATATCAGCTTCAACATGTTCTGGTTTCACTAATGAGACTACTGATGTTGTTTGGCTACAAAGGTTCTGCTGTGTCTTTAAGTGAATTTTTAATAGTTTTCTTTAAGTACAGTGAAGTTTTCAAAGAGGTAAAGACAAGCCTTTTTCTATTTGTCACCAGTGGAGGTGAAACAGAGTAAGTTCATACACTTTGTGTGTATTAAGCTATTACAGGAAATCTGTTTTAAGTCATACGTAATTCCGTATCAGTGATTTGTCGATTGATTAAATGGATTTCTAACATCTAGGTTACAGTTAGAATCATAGAATAGTTAGGGTTGGAAAGGACCTTAAGATCGTCTAGTTCCAACCCCCCTGCCATGGGCAGGGACATCTCACACTAAACCATGTCACTCAAGGCTCTGTCCAACCTGGCCTTGAACACCACCAGGGATGGAGCATTTACAGCTTCCTTGGGCAACCCGTTCCAGTGCCTCACCACCCTTACAGTAAAGAACTTCTTCCTTATATCCAATCTAAACTTCCCCTGTTTAAGTTTTAACCCATTACCCCTTGTCCTGTCATTCCACTCCCTAATGAAAGTCCATCCCCAGCATCCCTATAGCCCCCCTTCAGATATTGGAAGGCTGCTATGAGGTCTCCACGCAGCCTTCTCTTCTCCAGGCTGAACAGCCCCAACTTTCTCAGCTGACCTTTATACAGGAGGTGCTCCAGTCCCCTGATCATCATTGCGGCCCTCCCCTGGGCTTGTTCCAAAAGTTCCATGTCCTTTTTATGTTGAGGACACCAGAACTGCACACAGTACTCCAAGTGAGGTCACCTCCTTCATCCTGCTGGTCACGCTCCTTTTGATGCAGCCCAGGATACGGTTGGCTTTCTGGGCTGCAAGCGCACACTGCTGGCTCATGTTCATTTTCTCATCAGCCAACACCCCCAAGCCCTTCTCCATAGGGCTGTTCTGAATCTGTTCTCTGCCCAACCTGTAGCTGTGCCTGGGATTGCTCTGACCAAGGTGCAGGACCTTGCACTTGTCATGATTGAACTTCATGAGGTTGGCATCAGCCCACCTCACAAGCGTGTCAAGGTCCCTCTGGATGGCATTCCTTCCCTCCAGCGTATCAGTCGAACCACACAGCTTGGTGTCATCGGCAAACTTGCTGAGGGTGCGCTCAATCCCACTGTCCATGTCAGCGACAAAGATGTTGAGCAACATCTAATGATGAGGGGGGTTCAAGGCCTGGAAACAGTGTCAGAGAAAACAAAAAATACTTGTTGCTTGCTACTTCTGTTGAGTACGCATAATTGCATTGTATCTATCCAAGACTGAATAATATATTCAGCTGGTAGAAAAATTACAATAAATTATTTTCTACATATGTTGAATTACTCATAAATGAAAAGAAAGTTCTGTTTCCCATTGCAGTCGGATCAGATTCTTGGTAACATGATAGAAATGTGGGTTGATCGGATGGATAACATCACTCAGCCAGAAAGAAGGAAACTTTCTGCTTTGGCACTGCTTTCACTTCTGCCGTCGTTGAATGCGTAAGTAAATGTACATTGCCTTAAATAAGTATGGTTCAAAGGTCCTTAATATGTTTTTTGAGGTATTTCACAATTCTCCATGTAAGCATTACAGTATTTTTATTGCCTTTTTTTTGTTTGTTTTGTTGTTGTTGTTGGGGGTTTTCTGTTTGTTTGGTTTTTTTTTTTGCCAGGAGGAACGTTAAAAGGGCAGAATTTTCATGCTGCATTATATTAACTTCTTATATGGCTTCATAGCAATATAGTAACTTTTCTTATATTTCATAGGAAATGTTATTTTCTATGACAAAGTGAGGAAACAACACTGCATATTTTATTGTCCATTCTCATATTGAATTGCCTGCTTCTGTCATTTGTGATAAAGGAGTTGCTCTGGTTGGCTTGTTACTATTTTGCTGTCCTTTCCAGAGCACAGTGTTTGTTCAGTTTTCTTTCCTGTTGTGGATAGATCTGAACTTTCATCCCGGTTTTCCTGTTTATGACGTTGAATGGAAGAATTTCTGTAAAAGACTATGAAACACTTTTTACTCTGTAGATGCTGATAGTGAGCAGCTTTCACTACTGTGTTTTCCGTAGCCACCATCATTTCTGAATATACATGCAGAATGAAAGTTTTTAATGAAAATGCTGAAATGTGTGACACGGACTTCAACACTGTCGCTACTAGAATTCTTCTGTAACACATGGTTAGGTGAGAGTTCAGACAGTATTTACCCCCAGATATTTTTGTCTGTTTCAAAGTCAGGAAGGCAAGACTTCATGAGTTCACATTTAGCCTGCCGGATTTCCTGAAAAGTCTTAAGTGTTGTCTAATGGGATTTTACATGTTGCTCACAAATCCTAAATCTAAGCTAATATATGTAAAATTGTAGAATGCATAAATCACTACCTAAAAACCCAGTGAACTCGTACATGTAAAACTTCGAGGCTTCATTGCTTTGAATGCGTACAGAAGCTTTTCATTTTTGTCCCAGATCATCAGGGTAAGCATCTAGACAAGGGTGAACCAAGCAGCTGGTTTATGAGAAAGCTTTTGCTTTATTTTAACCCCTCTAGTAAATATAACAGTACTATATCTAAGCCCATGTATGCTATCTAGTATATATGTGAAATTTAAGACACTAAACTACATGTCTGTCTTCCTGTGAAGTTTCTGTTAAGGAGAGGAAGGGAAAAAGAAAAAAACCCTTTCTTTAGGTAACTCTTATTTTGAACTACTTTCAGCTGCTCCAGATTTCCTGCTGAAAGAGCCAATTATTTCTGGCAGTCCATAACATAATAAAACCTTCTGCACATGACAGCTTTATTTTTCAGATATCAAATAATTTAAGAAAGCCGCTTCTCAAATAAAAAGCCTCTCTTTAGTGGACATATTTATGTCAAAGCTATGAAAATTTTACTGTACAACTGATAGACTGCTAGAGCCAAACATACCTTCAGACAGAATGTGCGAAATTGGTTCTGTCAAGTGATTGTTCCTTCTGCTACTGAAGAATGTGAGTGATTCTGGTTTTGCCATTTTATAGGGATTGTATTACATAGGTTTGCTGCATGTCACCTCTGAAACTTGGGTTAAAAACAAAATTTTTCAAAAGTATGCTTCTTGTGTGAGTCCATTTGCAAAGCTTAAGCAAAAAATGTTTTAAAAATAATACAGTATTTGATTTGTATAAACAATATTTTCAAGAAAAGCTTAAGTAATTTTTGCTGTTCGAATACGTCGCTAACCAGGTTCCTGATTAGATATTATTTTGGATATCCAAAGCTAGTTCAAGATTTCTTAGCTGCAGAGACAGAACAGAATTTTGTTTCCCAAGCATGGCTGTGAGATGAACTCATTTGGGGAGGCCACGCTGAGAGTGGTACCAGTAGCAAGCTCAGATTTTAAAAGTTCTGCTGTAGGGAAAACAGGCATCTGTGCTGTGTCTAGCACTCCCAGGGATTTAGCGTTTTTTGCCAGTTGCTTCCTCTAGCTTTTAGCTGGAGCTGTCCCAAGAGCATCAGGTTATTTCAGAGAGGAAAGAGAGGGCATAGACAAAAGTAATGGGGGGAAAATGAAAATAACAGGTATTCTTGTCTTAGATTTGCTTTATGGAGAAAAACTTGGAAAATATTAAGGAGTGACCCTTTTATATTAGTTTTCTAAACTCTATAGTATTACTTCATTACTTTTAGGTGGTTTTTTTAGTTAGTGGTTGTGTTTGTGGACTTGGGACTTTCTGCATTTTAAGGAAGGTAAAGTTTTCATCATTAATCCTTTAAAACTGGTGTGGCACAGTAATTTCCTGTTTCAAAAATAGCTTCTTCAATTGTGTCAGGAGTGAAGGACTTTAGAGCAAATAAGATTGGAATTGCTGCAGAGCATCTGTAGTTCACAGTGATTCTAGGGCCAATTAGTTGGACTAAGCATGTTATAAAGCAGCAGTTTGTTACCCAAACTATAGGTTTCTTGTCTAGGCGGTATCATCTAGAGAGATGTGCAATGTCTTCAGCACCAAGATAAACTGCAGTGTATCATATATGTCCTTAGATCCAGCATCCTGTTTATTTTCCTACATACAGCTGCACATTGTGTTAGTGTTTAGAAGTTCATATTAAAAAAGAACAATAACTGCTTCTTTCCTGATTAATGTGTTGTAGCACTTTTTCACTTAGCAGCAATTTCCTGGTATTAATTTGGGATTTTACATAAACTAAGTACTACCTGATTATCTGGATTTGCTGTCTCAGTCTGGCTGCTCAATATTAGCATTTTTTATGTCTGACTGATGTAGGCATCCTTACTTTCCGCATTTTGTACTCCTTCTGCCCGTTTGTCACTTATATTCACAGGCATTTTCATTCATCTGTTAAAAGCTCTTGGTATTTCATAAAGACCTTCATCTTTAAACTGATGTGTAGAACCGTATGATGCAGTAACAAGATGCAGGTAGTAAGGATATGCTTACAGAGTAATTATGTCTCCATCTCAGCATACAAGAGAAATACGCATAGACACAAAATAACTAGAACACTTGGGGGTTTTCTGGAAAACATGAAAAGGCCTGAAGTTTAGTGGAAGAGAATCATATCTGGCTGGGATGTGAGACGTGAGGTGACAGCAACCTGGATGAGTACATTCATAAATGTCATAATTTCCCAGTCTTCTTCAGTCATATTCCACTTTGTCTATGATCTTAATGGCGTCTTTGTGAACCTACAGTAACATTTAACTTAGCTTTGTGTGGTATCTGTCTGTAAGCAGGGGTAGCAGTTGACACCAAGTTGAAAGCTAATCACTCCTCTTTTGTTAGTAAGTGTTATTAATGCAGTGGCTATCATTCTTTAATGGTAGGTTACCAAGTTTGCCTTTACTCCAAGTCAGTGCTTTCCAAAAGAGTCTACTAATTTTGGTGGTTGCAAATAGGTTTATTCTTTGTGGAGTTCCCAGTGCAGAGTGGTACTGCTTGCCCTAAAGTAGAGGAGACTACTGACCTTGAAATACAAAGCATTTTAACTGATCTTGTCTTTTTGGTTTTAATTTTTGGTTACACAGGTAGTATTTCCAGATGCCAGTGTTATGTTTTCCCCTTCAAGTCAAGTGTGTTTGTCTGGAAAATCTATTGTGAGGGAAAGGTTAAGAGCCTAAGAGATTCTCCAGGTTGTTCTGCTCATTTCTAATCATGATATAAATGAATGTCTGCTTTTTCTCATTATGTATCAAATCTGTTACATCAGCCACTGAGTCCTGCCAATTAGATAATTGGCATTCTGTGCGTTTAAGTACTTACAGTATGCAATTATAAATCATCATTAGGTTTTTACAGTTTTCCCTCTGTCATGTTTTAAAGTTAGCTTGTTAGAAATTTAATTTTCCTCTCATGAAGCTGTCTAATGTTCGCAAATGGCAAGAAAGTGCCTAATAAAATACCAGGTTGACCTTCAGGGTAGTTATATTCTCATTCATAAAGTCAGAATTTGTTACCTAATTAACTTCTACAGTGTCCTTTTTTTACAGAGATGATACTCTAAAGCCACTTTTTTTTTAATCTTTTTTTTTATACCTCTAGTCAGAGATGTGCTCACTCACAAATCTAATACACTACTAGTATTAAAAGTTGCTCTTCAAATTATGATCTTGCAGTTGTCATCCATGTTTGGCCTTGGATTTGTTTAGTTCTCCTGCCAGATAACAGTGCAGTTTTAATGACAAGAGTGAAAAATCTAGCTTTGGTCTGTGTGTGAGTATCAGTCTGCATCATTTAGAGTGTTACATATAGGACCACATCTTCCCTATTGTATGTCACATCATAGCATTGATAAGAGGATGCACTTTCCTTGTTCACAATCACCTGATCATTAGTATGGTCTGGTCAGAAACAAATTATCATCCCCCCTAAGACCCATAAAGCTTGTTTACAAGGGAAAATATACCAAGTGATGGCAAGGGCTTATGTCACTAAATGCAGCTGAACTGCTGCAGAAAACTGACTGCAGTCATAAGGAATTAATTGCTGCTAATACCTTAGGGGTTTTTTTTTGTGGGCTGTATAAAGAACTTCAGAAGTCTTTCCCAAAACTCTTCTAAATACAGTCTACCCTCAAATTGAACATTTTAAGGATATAAAAGAACAGCAAAAGTTGATAATGGACTAAATAGCTTTTTTCAAACCTTTTTATCTTTTTCCTTCATAATATGCAGTTTAAAGTTTGCAAGTTAGTTAGTGAATAAGCAGTGACTAAAGTGTAGCATATTATTAAAAATGTATAAAAATAACAAGATGGTAACAAACTTAAACCCAAAAAACCAAAAACCAAACCAAACGGGAAAAGAACTCCACAAAACCTACCAACCAACCAAAAAAAAAAGGCAAGAAAAACCCAAAGCCAATATAGATTTGTAGCTGGTTTTCCACCTGAGTTTATTCTGAGGTATTTTGGTACGCCTTCTTGTCTCTCTGCCCTATACTCTGTCATATTTGAGACTGCCTGAAAGTAGCTGCCTGAAAAGGCTGAGATTTTGTGGTGACTTTTCTTAACTGTGCCAGACTGTTATCATAGACTGGTTCAGGTTGGAAGCGACCTTAAAGATCGTCTAGGTCCACCCCCAGGGACACCACCTACTAGACCAGGTTGTTCAAAGGTCCATCCAACCTGGCTTCTAACACTGCCAGGATGAGGCATCCCAAAGTTCCTTGGACAGCCTGTTCCAGTGTCTCACCACCCTCATAGTGAAGACTTTCTTCCACATGTCTCATCGAAATATCCCCTCTGTCACTTTAAAGCTGTTCCCCCTGGTCCTGTCCCTACAGGCACTTCTAAAAAGTTCTTCTCCAGTTTTCTTTTAAGCCCCCTTTAGGTACTAGAAGGCTGCTATGAGGTCTCCCCTGAGCCTCCTCTTCTCCAGGCTGAACAACCCCACCTCTCTCAGCCTGTCTTCATAGCAGAGGAGCTCCAGTCCTCAGAGAATCTTTGTGGCTTCCTCTCTACTTGCTCCAGCAGGTCCATGTCCCTCTTGCGTTGGGAGGCCCAGAGCTGAGCACAGTACTGCAGGTGGGGTTGCATAAGAGCAGAGTAGAGGGGGAGAATCATCGTCCTCAACTTGTTGGTCACGCTCCTTTTGATGTCGATGCAGCCCAGGACATGGTTGGTTTCTTCACTGCAGGCCCATACTGCTGGGTCATGTTGAGCTTCTTGTCAATCAACACCCCCAGGGCCTTCTCCTCAGGGCTGCTGTCAATCCATTCTTAGCCTATACTTGTGCCTGGGATTGTCCCGACCCAGGTGTAGGACCTTCTACTTTGCTTTGTTGAACTTCATAGGGTTCCCAAAGGCTCACCTATACAGCCTGTCAGGGTCCCTCTGGATGACATTCCTTACCTCCAGCTTAACAACCAAACCTCACAGCTTGGTGTCATCAGCAAACTTGCCTAGGGTGCACTCAATCTGACTGGCTATGTCCATGTCTGGTTGTGGTAAGATACCAAAGTGGTTAACACGAGAATGCAAATCACTGCAAGAACTTCTGCAAAAAATACTGTGTCCTATTCAGGCAGTTTAATGAGAAATCAAGGGTTTAAACAAAACATCAGCGTTTGGTATTAATGAAATTTTTAAGGAACAAATATTTTGTGTTCTATTTTGTGTTCTGGGTATTCTCTGCAGTAATTTTCAGGAAATGCCCTAATTGTTTGTCTTCTCTCTTTGTAAATTTTTTAGAAGTTTATCAGTTGCTTACACCAGTTGTGTGCTCATCCTGTCTCCTAAACTAGCAGGTGATGTACTGCTGAAAACTGTAAGATTGGATTTAGTTCTGAATCTATTTCTAGAAGGTGAAGTAGTTATTCTGGTTGAAAGTTGTGAAAAATACTTGATTTGAGTTCTTTAAACCTTTTGGTTTTAATTACATTCCTACTGAGTAAATATCTTACTGACTTTCTGTTTTGAACAGGGTTTACTAAGTATTTCAGTGAATAATAAACACTAAAGCTAGAAATACAGTTATTCTCAGCGTATCACATGCATGGATATCACTGATGGCCAACCTTTCTTAAGTTACTATTCTGTTACTGCTCACTCCATAAAAGACTTCATTTTTCTGGTGGGTTTGAATGACAAGTGCAGTTCATTGGTGCAATAATTATTTACTACTATGTGAGAATTTTGAAATTTCTTAAATTGAGCTCTTAATTTCATAAAAGCTTTAGGCCATATTATTTTTAGTAAAGTCTAAAGCCAAATAAGGTTTATAGAAGGGAAATTTCTCCTCAATGGCAAGAATCAGTCTCTAGTTTTCACTTACTCTTTCCCAGCATGTTACAAATCCTGCTTGATAACTTGAAAATAATAAACACCAAGGTTAAGAAGAAAAATAAGTTAGACAACTTCATAATTTTGAAATAGATCTTGTTCTGTATGTTTACATTTACAAATTTTTAATATGATGGGTTTATGAAACAGGAATGTGTTTTCTGGGTTATTAATTTGGCATTACGATTTCTGTATTTGTCTCCTGTTTGTAACTGTCACTGTTGCTATTGTGAGGTTGGATTAGCCATCTGTGAACAGAGAAATTTCCAGTAACTGAAGTAGCAAATCAAGATTTTTAAGTAGGCAGGAATATTAAATGCTAGAAGAAATATGCGATGTTTGAGATAATCAGAAATTTTCAGATAATCTGGATATTAATTAGGAAAACAAAAAAGGAATTTGAGGTCTGATAATAAGGCGTTCACAGTAGGTGTTACTGGATATAGGTAGATGAAATGAGATCAAATGTTGATGTGTATACCACCCAAGCAGGAGGTTAGTAGCTGAATTACTTTGACTTGCAGTAGTATCTGGAGAATGATATGGGCAGAACGTGGTAGTTTTGAAAACAAAACAAGAAAGTATCATAGACCACCTGTGGAAAATAAAAGCAGAAGGAAGAAAGACCTGCAAGAGGAGGTGCTTGCTAAACACAGTGGGAGGGTAACAGGTATTTTCACTCTTACAAGCTCAAAAGAATAATTACATGGCTAAATTATTTTTTTCTCTTTTGTGAGCTTTAGCTTAATTTTATAGTGATTTTAAGAATAAATGTGCATGTGGGCATTCTATGATTCTATGAAGTGCTCTTCAAAAATTGACTTAAATACACTTTAAAGATGGGTAATTTTAGAACCTGTTTTCAAATTTATTGCTTGTTTTTCTGCTGCTATACATAAATTGAAGTTGGATGGGTTCTTTATGCCAACTAATATTCATAACCTGAATTACATTGGCTTTAATTTAACATGGATCAGTGAGAAAATAGAGGTGGTTTGGAAAGGCTGTGCTAGATACAGTGCTTGTATGTACTTTCAGTTACTTTGACCCGTCATTTTATGCGCAGTTTGACAAATTGCTGTTGCTCAGGTTTCATGCTTGTATTGACAAGGAGTCACTGTTCAACTAGGTTTTAATGTGTTAAAAAGCAATGACATTAGTATTTATTAATGTTAGCGTATTAAGGTAAAATTCCTTTCCAGGTTCAAAAATAATTTTCCCTGTTTCAGTGTGAAGCTGTATTCAGATGTAAACCTGGTATAGCTATCACTGGAGAACAAAATTTGTAATAACTAAATATACCTCTATTAGAGCTACTTAATCTCATTTGAAGGAAAAGTTTGAGGTTTTCTGTTTGTTTTTCTTACAATTTTCAACTAGTAATAATTTCTGTTATTTAAGTTCAAGCCGGTTTGAGAAATGTTGATCCAAACTGTATGTGTATCCTAGTCTTTCTATAGTTTCCCCCTAAATGGTGTCAGTCATGTGGCCTGTATTTTGTCTCTCCTTAACAGATACACTTTTCAGATGCTTTAACAGTGTATTCTATTAATGAAGCAATGCCTGGAAACTGCAGTCTGATTGGATCTGCAGGGCTCCAGATGCCGTATTTACAAAACATGAGACAGGACTTTCTTCAGATCCCTTAGTGCAAATCGAAAGGACCCATTATCCATTAATCTGGAGCCATTATCTGAATTAAGACTTTTTTCTCATTTTGCACTGATCTGAGAATCAGAAAAGTCAGCACTGTGCTCAGAACAGCAGCGTCAGCTAGGGTTTGAGCAAAATTCTCATAAGGTACGTTTAGTACAAGACCACAGAGACATTCAGCCTCTTACTGGACACCAGCTGCTTGTTCTAAATTTTCATTCTACCTCATATCCCAGAAGGCTTCTCAATTCCTTCAGTCTTTCTGAATATATTAATTCTGGCATTTTGCAAAAAGGGAGACTTAATAACATAATTCTTTTAAAAACTTTCTTTATATTGGGATGTGATTATTTTAGCCCTATAGAATTGTTTCATACAGCACATCTTGGAAGAAATAATTCTGTTATTTCTTACCCACAGAAGTATCAGCATATATAGGCTATAAGTAGTGAAGCTTAGGTAGGAGATAATATCCTGTTTGAAGTAATGTCTCATTTTTTGTCAGTCTCCGTTTTTCCCCTCACCTCATTCTATTTTATCTGGATAATCATTTTTAAATTATTATCTCCCCATATTCATGCTAGTTCTCTCATCAGCCTGAGAACTGTGTTGTCCCTTTAAGTAAATGACATGCTGTTTTGTTTTATTTTACTTTCCTTTATATCATAGAATCATAGAATAGTTAGGGTTGGAAAGGACCAACGATGATTTAAATACCATGGAAAAAAAAAAGTTAAAAATAAATCTAAACAAAAATCAGTTTTTCTATTGTTTTAATGTTTGTTTTTGTTTTTTTTTTTAAGAAAAAAGAACCAAATGCAGTTCAAATTCTCTGTTGTAAAGGTTATGTCTAAAGTGGCCCATGGAAAATTACATTGGTCTTGCTGATTTACTGAGTTTACACTAGATACTGTAAGAGGTATTGAATCTAATAGAATTGAAGGGTGCTAGGCTTTTTTTTTTTTTTTTAATATTCTCTTCCCTCCCAAGTATAGATAATTTTTGTGAGCTCCAGTTGAAAAATTGAAGAAGTATTTCTGTTGATAGTAAATGTTGTATGGATTTCAGATGGAAAAAGCTAATTATATATGGTGTCATGTTTAATCCCCAGCCAGCAACTAAGCTCCACAGAGCTACTTGCTCACTCCTCCCTGGTGGGATGGGGGAGAAAATCGGAAGGGTAAAAGTGAGAAAACTCATGGGTTAAGGTAAAGATAGCTTAGTAGTTAAGGCAAAAGCCATGTACACAAGCAAAGCAAAACAAGATATTCATTCACCGCTTCCCATGGGCAGGCAGGTGTTCAGCCAACCCCAGGAAAGCAGGGCTCCATCATGTGTGATGGTTACTTGCAAAACCAAACTGCATTCCGAACATCCCACCTTCCTTCTTTTCCCCACAGCTTTATATCCTGAATGCGATGCCATATCGTGTGGAATATTCCTGAGGTCATGAGGTCAGTTGGTGTCGGCTGTCCTGGCTGTGTCCCTCCTGATTTCTTGTGTGCCCCCAGCCCACTTGCTGGTGTGGTGGGGTAAGAAGCAGAACATCCCTGAAATGAATGAAAACATCCCTGAATTATCCACACAGTTTCCAGCACAAGTCCAAACCTCAGCCCCATAACCAGCTACTATTGAAGAAAATTAGCTATGTCAGCCAAAACCAGCACGTATGGTCAGAAGCATTTTTTGAAAACTTCAGAAATGTTTCTTCTGGCAGAATGTGGAAGAAAGTATCTTCAAAGGCATGTCCTTGTTTATTCTGCTTCCTTTGTTCATGTGCTTCATGCATTTCAGCTTGGATTATTACAGCCAAAGATATTTGGGTGGTATCTTGTCTCTTACGTGAACTTGTGCTTCCTGTGTGAGATCACTGTGGCCAAAGTGGTTTGAGTCGTCTGTTGTCTCTTTCTTGGCTGTGGCTGCTGATGGGCTTTTCCATCTTTGTTTTGTCAAGCAGAAGGTCTTGTTACAGTGTACGTTGTCGGTTTATAGTTACATTGCTATTTAAAGGCTTAATCTCTAATCAGCCACCTCATTTTGTTGTTTCCCCTTTCCCCCTTTGTTGTGACTGGACTTTACAGGTATTTCATCCACGTGATGGATAAGGTAAAGATATCATTTCCGGTACTTAAGTGAGGGGGTATTTATAGCACAGATGCTTGCACTGAGTATCTGCACAGGGACACTGCAGGAAACAAAAGCTGTGGTCTGAAGGTGTGGTGGTCAGAATACCCACAGTCCTCTGTAGATAAATTGGTTTTTAAAAGTGGCCAGAGGTGAGACTTTACACAGTGCCGGGATCGGGTCTGAAATACAACGCATACTGAGCAGTTTAGTACCACATCAGGCAGTTCTCATCTCTTAAAGACTTCCTGGTCTTCCCTGGGATGGCTGGCAGGAGGTACCTTGCCGGAGTGCAGGAAGCACTGGGGCTGTGCCTTCCAGACCTTTGTGTTTTCCCTCTCCATGTTCTCACTCACTCACTGGAGTGAGTGTGTGTTCTGGAACAGTTTGACTCTGCAGGCAGAGAGAGAACAGTGTAAACATTGCTATTGCTTCAGTACAACATTCCAGCTTCTGGCTGAAAGGTAAAGTATTTGCAGATAATGCAGTAGTGCTGTTAAAAATAGGCATGGTATATTCTAAAAATTACACCTGACTTCATCTAAAACTCTTTTGAGCTCTCCTAGTTAAAAACAGTAGTTAAAAAAAAAAGAAAAAACAACAAAAAACCCACAAACCAGCAACCGTTACAAACTAAGATAGTTCTTGGTTTTCTAGAAACAAATCATTGAGATTTCCTTTCCAACAGTACTTCTGAAGCACAGATAAAATGGCTTCCTGTCCCAGGGTTTCCTGTATCCATGGCAACCTGACTTTAACCACTTCTTTCTTAGTTTCCTGAACGAACAGTTGCAAATCCTGGGGCAAAATGTGAGAGAGCTCTAGTACGCAGCAGTACTGCGTTTACAAAGGTTTCACAGATGACTATAGTCTGTCAGCTGGTAACTTAGTCCAATGAACTGCAGAACATCAAAATAACAGAAATAATGAACTTCAGATGTGTGGTAAGGAATCTTTATTTATTTATTTTGAATGTAGCTCATCTTATGAAAGTAAAACTCAAGTTATGAAAGAGCTGCCAGGGAAAGGAAACTTTTTTCCAGTTGGCATTTCTACTTGAATGCTATTGAAACATTGCCTAGCCAGTCTTAAATATAAAAAATAGTTAATAAACAGTATTTTGGATTTACTAGAAGCTGGTTTTGTGGCAGCTTAGTTGTTTTTATGCTGCAGCCATGAAATATTTTCTGGCTAGGCTGGCAGTACGTTTGTTTCAGTGTTCATTTATGTTGAAATTGTTTTCATTGTAGTTCAGACTTACACTCAGTAAATTTTAATTTTAAATTGCTTGTTTGTCATCAAAGGAGAATATATAAAATACCAATCTTGAAAACCATGCTTGTATTTTAAAGACTGTATATGTAAAATCTTTAAAGTTTTGAATTAATAATATTTTATAAACTTCTTTTTATCTCTACTAGCCAAGTCAGAGATGAGTAAGAAGGCCAAAGACAGGGATATGTGTGGTCTACAAAGTTCTCCACCCTGCTTGGGAGCATTCCTGTATATCCTTAATTGTTTTCTTTTGTTGCTGCTCGAGAAGGAGGCTCTTGGCTGTCCGGCTGCTTGCCAGCTCTGCACAGGGAGACAAGTTAGCTGTCGTAATTCAGGGCTTTTGAGCATCCCGCAGAACTTTCCAAAAACGACAATTCTCATGTACCTCAGTGGGAATAATATATCGCATGTCACTCCAAATGAACTGAGAGGCCTTCAGAAGCTTGCTGCACTGTACATGGATAACTCCAGTATTTTGTATGTACACCCAAAAGCTTTTGTGGAACTCCCCAAACTGTGCTACTTGCATCTAAATAACAATAATATTAAACGCCTTGATCCAGGAATCTTTGAAGGTCTTTCCAGTCTTCACTGTTTATACCTTCAGAATAATCAAATAGCTTTTGTGCCCAGAGGATTATTTAGTGATCTCCTTTCTGTTAGATATTTAACACTTCAAAGAAATCGCCTCAGTGTCCTTGGAAGTGGGACTTTCTTGGGAATGATAAGTCTCCAAACACTTAACCTAGCCAATAATAAGATTTCACGGATATCAGCTTCAGCATTTCATCATCTTGAAAACCTTTCATATTTGTTTCTTGAAGGTAACAACTTAACGCTTGTGCCATCAAATGCAATTGGAAGGCTCAAAAATCTTGAAAGACTTTCTTTGTCTCACAATCCCATTGGATCAATACATGCTTTTGCATTTAAAGGACTTAACAAGCTTAGATATCTGTCTTTAAAGAACATCAAACTAAAACGTATTGCTGTAAATGTTTTTTTTGGATTAAACAACCTTAGCCAGTTAATCTTAAGTTATAATGATTTAGAAAATATAAATTCTAGCACTTTTACTTTATTGGACAACTTAATGTATCTGCAGCTAGACAGAAATAGAATAACCAGTATTGCTGATGGTACCTTTGAAAAAATGGGACAGTCACTTAAAGTACTCAGTTTAGCATTTAATAATATTACAGAGTTGCAACCTCAAGTGCTCAAGCCTCTAGTATCTTTAACTCATCTACAAATAAACTATAATCCTTGGAACTGCAGCTGCAAAATGCTAGGATTACTTAACTGGCTAGCATCCTCTCCTATTTCTGTGAAAGTTCATTGTCAGAATCCCCAGAGTATGCGTGGTAGGCCTTTGCATTACGTTAAGTGGACTTGGTTTGCAAACTGTAGTAGCCCTACTGCCAGCCCAGAAGCAGCCTGGACTCTAGGATCTGCAGGTTCCCACCACAGCGCAACCACTTTGCTGGTGGCATGGCATAAGGGAAACAGGCAGAACACATTTGAACAGTTTGTCAATGCGGAAACTAAATATGTTGCTTTCTGGGAAGGAACGACATCTGCCTCTGCTAACCTGTTGCCCTATGAAGAAAATGCTGCTGAAATTCCATCACAGGCAGCCACAGTATTATCGACATTGCCAGTGCAAATACCAGCACAGATGATGCCTGTTAACAGAACAATAGAAGACGGTGGCTCGTTTCCAACAGATGCTGCTCCTGTATTGTTAAAAACATCCCTGTTTTGTACACAACAGGTTGAAAAGCTGAATCAGGCTTTTGACATTTTACTAGCCTTTTTCATTCTGGCTTGTGCTGTAATACTGTTTTTAACCTGTAAAATTATTCAGTTTAGGCAGAAACTAAAGGTGCTAGAAAACTCTGGAGAAAAGAGAATAGAATATTATGGGGTTTATCAGCCTGGCAGATACAACATAACTGATCCAGTGCAGTCTCTAACTCGGAATTCAGTGGTGCATTCAGAACTAGACCAAATTAGGCTGCTCAAGCGAACACCATCTGAAAGTCAGGCACAGGTCATATTGTTTGAACACTCATCATTGTAGTTTATCTTATTTGATCTGATGATAACTTTATTGTGATCTGAAATGTCAGGAAGTCAAGAACTCAATTTAGAAAGTATAAATAGTTTCACTGATTAAAATCAACGGGTTGATAGAATTGTAGAAAATAGTATCATTTCGGTTGTTCTGCATTTCTGAATGTTTAGAATTTTCTATTAGGTGTCATTTAAATCTGACTCACATAGGTAGATTATCCTCTGTCCTTGTTGTAGCAGTCTTTGACCTGTAACTCAAATATATGTGCAGTATAAAATGCATATATATTTTTATTGTGTAGTACTTAATGGTATAAGTTTCTATAGAAATTCCATAGGTAACTGGGAGCTTGAAGCAAGCAAAACATCCGTTTTTAACAAGATTATGAAGCCAGGAGTCTGGGGAAATGAGGAAAAAAGTAATTCTTAATTTATTTATTGTAGTGCAGTTTCTAATCTGCCTTAATTAATCATCACAGTGGAAAAAATAGTATATTTACATCAGCATGTTCAGACTCTCAAGGAAAAGAAAAACTTAAAATTATACAAGTCTTATTCATATGTGTGACATATTTTAAAATACAAAGTTGTGTATTTGTCTGTATAATGAGCATCTTAAAGTAAGTTCTTTGTTAGTATGTATCTGTATCATTTCATAATGCCTGAAACTGGAGTTAATAGGAAAGCTAAGTTTCTGTTGGATTGAAAAATTGAGCAAGTTTATTATGTCTAAGGTAATAGGGCTGGTTAATTATTGTCAATCCAAAATATTTTGTAATCTATATAGTAATAGTTTGAGGGCCAGTTTTGGCTAGGTAAGAGGTATAAGCTGAAGAAATGTACTATACTTTAAATACATAATTCTAGATTAATTGCTGAAGATATTTACATATTTGTGGTCTATATTTAGAAGTGTCAGGTCAAAGTATGTTTCCTTAGTGATGACCTAATTTTAGACTTCATCTTTAAAAGATGGATAGTATTTTACTGTATAGTTTGAGTTTGTTTTAACTTCTAATATCATATCAATCAAATATTGGTGTTCTGTTTGCATTACTGTCAGGTTATATCTACTGCATTATATCTTTATTTTCAACCTGAATTTCTGTGATTATTTTGTTGTTGCTGTTAATCCAGTAGTTCAAACTTTATCCAGAAAGAAATAATAAAAAATGTATTCCAGATAGTCCAATGCTGTAAAATTTTCAGCTAGGTGACTGGGACTTACTTTTGTAGATGCTGTGTGCCTTCTACAGGCTTGTGCCTTAGAGTCTGCAACTATTTTGGTTTGTAAGTGATGCAGTTTAGTTAGATCATTTTGCTCAAGGAAATACGGAGAACAAAGTTTTGATAAGTCTGTCATCATAAGTTGTGTATAAGTATCTTGCTGTTCCAGGATCCAGCCAGGAGACCAGGGCATTCTCAAGGTCAATTAGAACCGCCCTCAGGATTCTTTTTCCAGTGTGTTTCCTGCTAGTTACACTAGCAGGAATAACTTTTCGTGACTGGGTCATTATCTGTTACCAGTACATATATAGGCCTTGGCTGCACTGTGTGGGTTTGGATGTGCAACTGTTTCTCTCTTGCTTGTTAAATGTCTCTTGAATGTAATGAAATACAAATCTACTATATTGTAATGCTGTATTTTACTGTATGATAGTTCAAATGCTTTTATGGAACATTTAATTTAGCTACTTGGGCAAAAGCTTCAGCAATTCTGTACTGCTTGAGTAGAAAGTTTTTAAAAATAATCTTCTACGTGTAGATCAGATGTTAAATGTATTGAGTAAATGTATTTAAGGAGGGAAAGCATTTACTCTAATTCATGCTTTATTTATTTTTAGGTGACTAATCCATTATAAAGACTTCATCTTCAACCAAATTTTTTTTACTTTTTAACTTACCTACATAATTCCTCATGATTACTGTTAAATTTCTTTTCATTTAATAACAGCTGCACAATCAGTAGTAGGTTCTACAGTTTTATGTACTATATTTCTAAATTTCCAATTTTATATGGATGTCTTCAGTAATAATAGACTTAAAATTCAGTGAGAGGAAGTTAGCTCTTTTCATTGCTGAAAATGCTGCTGTGTCTTTGTTAGACAGGAGGTTTTGGAATGGGAAAGGTTGAGGTTGAACAAACCTAGTTCTCGAAGAAATCTGGTAGAGGACAGCTCTGATGTTTTAGGTTCTGCTTTCCTTCTCTACAGTAGAGCTGCTCTCTACAGAAGAGCACAAGAGGTTCCCTCTGAATGTGTGCTTTCCACTGGCAAGCTACTGCTGCCATTGTTTGCCACATATGAGTCTCACCACCTGTAGTGATTGAGCATGAAAGGAAAGCCATGCTGTCAGAGCTGTTAGTTCAAGCAAGGCTGGAGCAGTTGGAAGCCATCATTTGGAGTGGAGTCATCCTCTAATTATCCAGCTTGCCAACAATTTGCATTAAACTAACAATGAGAGATTGATTATGCAGTTGTGGAGAAAATGCCTTTCTTTTGTGGTTAGTAGCCTTTTATATTCCTATATCTTATATAGCAAACAGTGGAAAAACCTTTCACATACATGTGTGGTTCATATATCTATTAAAATAATTAAAGAATACATTAGAGGACAGTTAAGTTTGTCCTCATGAAGCAAAATGGCACTTTATGGTCATCGAGTTTATAGTCAGTCATAGGACTCCTCTGGAAATGTTGTCTTAGCTGCTACATTAGTGTTCATAGGAACTACTCTTTAGCATGGTGCAGCTCCTAAGAGGGGTGAGGGTGTTTGGGGGTGGGGGTGTGTGTGTGTGTGTGTGTGTAATAATTGTTTACATTGCTCTCAGTGTGTGCAAAGTAATCTCCATTTGTCCCACTCCACCTCTTTCTTTGGCTAATGAGAATAAAGAATTAATTAATCTTTCTCAAAGCTACTGTACACTACTAAAGATATGAAATTAAGCTTTCCCCTGTTTTGGTGTTTACTGCTTCATTCTGGTTAATGTAGAAGAGCAGAGAAGATTTTTCTCTTAATCTGTAAAAGTAGTATGTTTTCACATGCAGAATTTTTCTTCCATTTCTGATAGGCCAAGTAAGGTGATTAGCAGACAGGGGACCATTTTATTCAAGTTAAAAATTAATTGTGACATATATTTTATTAAGGTGTTGATAAAGCTTTGCTTACAGTAGCTATCTTGGTAATTGAAATCCAAATTCTGAATTCTTATATACAAGCTCAGAATAATAAAAATGTTTAATAGATAGTTGAGTGTATTGGAAATAATAGAATGAGGAAATGATGAATATTGCTATTTTCAGAACAGATTGGTCAGGTTTTTTTCTTTTTTATTTTATCTGACAAACTATGCAAGCTTTGAAAGAAAAGGTTTGAGATTATACTCATACAAGCTGAGCTAAATGTTTGCCACATTTTGTTTTCATTATAGTCAAAGTGAATTTTATTTAAAGACAGCTTAAAAGATTCTTTCTGAAATATAACAAATGTTAATATGTGTTAATTTCATGTTTCTGGAGTGGTTTAGATCTCAACAAATTGATAGAAGTTAAAATAATTTAATTCTGGGCCAGTCTTTTGATAATTTTTGCTGCATACTGAATGAGGTTTTGTCGTAATAACTATAACTATATAGTTATATAACTATAACTAGTTATAAAATCTGTTATAACTTGGTGCAGTTGTTTGGTCATTGCTGATCTGGATTATATGAAATTCAAGGCGGGGAAACTGCTTAAGTGCTGCCTTCCTTCCATGTTAAGATTTTAGTATGGACATTATTAATAGATCTGCTTTGAAAGTTCATCTAAATACAGCGTCCCTGTCTCTTCTGAATCTACTCATATGGCTTTCTAATGTATTTCTTGAAGCAAGCAGGCTAATTATGGCACCTTTAGAAAGGCATTGTGCTGCTTTGCATCGTGCTCTCCTCTGTGAAAGTAAGGCATGATGTGTTTTATATTGCTATTGAACTTTAATTGAGGTTTCCTATTTCAAAGCACAATGAGCCTATGCTGTCTTTATTTTTCACCACTCTGTGTCTTATATTCTAAAAATAGTTTAATTGTTTAATGATTCCGTACTTGGTAAACATTTCAGTAATGTTACTTGGTAACAGTGAGTCGTTAGTAGTCAATTTTTTCAAGTCAAAGGGAAAAAGAAGAGGGAGAAAAGATAAGGTCTTTACTGAAAGTTGTAGGCAACAGTTGCCCCATTTTGGAAGATCTTCTATGTTCTTTAGCTTTCCTCAAAAAAAGAAGGATTACCGTGAATTATCTATCTTTCAGTGAAGAAAGAAGTGAAATAGAGTTCCTTATTTCTACCATGAAGAAAAAATATCCTTTACAAGTAAAGAAATTGATGATTTCCCTATGTGCTTTGGAGCTCACTGTCAACAAGATTTTGGGTCTTCAGCCACTGTCGTCAGTTTCTTCTAGAGGTATCACAGATCCTTGAAAACAAGTTACCGTGTGCTGCTCCTATCAATCTGCAAACTTGGAGAAAAAAACAGCTTTAAAGAGTGCTATGCCTACAGTATTTATTTACATGTTGACTAATTAAAGTAACATCCCTGAATAGATTGACCATAATTAGCCCTGCAGCTGATGAAAAGGCTCTGCCTTCACTGGGTGAAAACAACTTTCTCTTCCCTCTCAATTTAAAATTTCTGTGGCAGTTAGGGGTTCTTCATGCAGAGTGGAAGAAAGAACTGTAACTAGCAGATAATGGATAGCAACCTGTGTTACTAATACTGCATGCATGCAAAAGAGCTTTCGTGAGAGGTGTGACGTAGGCACCTCTGACGGGAATGAAGAAAGCTGCTCTCTGAGGGCTCATTCTGCAGGCTGCTGAGCAGGCAGCACTGACTTTATCAGTGGTGCAGCATGGTTGGTAGGCTGCTTGCTCGTTGTAAGTAGAACCCTACAGAGGATCAGTCTCACAACACATAATACTTTGCTGTTCTAAATGAGATGTGGAAGCTTTATTGGCAAGGCAGAAAGTCTCTTTCAAAATACATACATCACAGTGATAATGAGAATAAGCCATATTGAATGAAAATGGTATCAATTCTCATTTAGTGGAATGTAGGGATTTCACGTTTCATTATACAAAATACAGTTCAGATCCTGGCATTTGACAGTAGCTTAATAAAAAAGGGAACAAAAATAATCCGTTGGAAACAAAATGAACAGGATTTGAATCATAATCTTATAAAAATAAATTTAAAATAAATATTTTATAAGCTTAGTATTCTGGCTTGATACTCATTTTTTCCAAAGCATCCATTGTTACATAAAGTGTCTCGTCATATACGTAAAATTTTGTTGTATGTTTGACAAGAAGTTTTTCAGATGCAGTAACTAATGGATGAAGAGCTACAATTTATCCAGTTTTTCAGTTTTCACCCCAAGTAAGAAAAGAAAATGAAGGAGTATTAAGAAGTAGGTCTGTCTCTGTTAAAAGTACGATGAAACTACAATACGTGAGCTTAGTATTCAATACCTTTAAACAAATACGGAACAAGTCTGCTTCTGCCTACTAGACACCAGAAGCATTTCTGGAGGAATTTAAGCCTGAATATCCAAACAGGGACTCAGAAAATGTTCCAGTTGATGTCAGTTGCAGAAGAGGGTTGTAGTTTGCCATCACTAGTTAGACCATTTGTATTTCTTTCCTGCTTGTAGGTGGAACTTCTGCAGTCTTCCCAACACGTTCATCTCTTCACTTGCAGTATGTCTTCACGCTTTTGTCGTTCACAGAATAGCTGCTTTCCATTAGCTGGGAAGTGGCAGCACCTACTTTATCCATCATGGGATGTTTCTATGCTCTTACTTTACAGGCACATCAGTTCTCAAGGCAGCAGCAAGCGTCTAAACATGTTTAGTGTAATTTTAGGTACTGTGGGCATATCCAGTCTGGCCTTCAGCTCATGCTGGAGAAAGGCACTTACCTGTTTCAAGTCCCAGGTGATACCTACCAGTCCTTTGCATCTCTCTTACACAGACTAGTTAGCCTTGTGTTTTAAATGGCAGGGGATGCCTGTGTTGAAGCAAAGAAATCCTACACTATTTTTCTCTCTAAAATCAGAGAAGTGGTGTTTGTGCAGAACTGGGTGCAGGTATTTGTCAGCCTCTGTGAGGAATCATTCAGCTGCCTAGGAGGGTGAAGAAATACTGGTAAGGCTGGACAGAGAAAACAGTAGGGAGGTCTACCATCTTTACAAGCTGCCCTTCACCAAAGGGTTTGTGTGTAGATTTTGCATTGAATAGTGATGTGAGAAAATGTGTAAATGTGTTAGGAATAGAAGCCAGTGACCTCCCTGCTAGCAGGAGTGTGTCCTTCCCCACTCGGTTTTGAGTCCTATAATAATGTATTTTTTCTTTTATTCCATTTGCAATTATTTCCAGGTCCTTAAAAGCAGCACATAAAGTTTTATTTTACTCAAGAATAATGTGGTTTGCATGTTTTTGAAATCTTTGTGTAATTAAAAAAAATTGAATCAGCCACTTGATAGCATGCTCAGCTAAGCAGTAAGCAATGAAAATGCTGCTTAGTAAATGTGCTTTACAGTTGCTGAGCAAATTTCCTGTTTAGCTCCTTTAGCTAAGTGATTTTCCTGTTCTCTTCCAGTGTTATCCAAGATAAATTTTGCTCTTTTGCAGTGTTATCCAAGATAAATTTTGTGGTATCATCAACATTTCAGTAGAAGGGCTGCATGACGTTATGACTGAAGATGCCGAAGCAGGAACATACAAAGAGTAAGTGAAAAATCTAATTAATTTTTGTGGGTTTGACAGTAGTAGCACTCTTTCATATGCAGCATTTTGACTGGAGAAATCTGTAGGCAGTTAAAACATGCTTGTAAGAGTTCTGTTTTCACAAGAATGAGTGTTTTATTGAAATAGGAAGTTTTTGGTCGTAACAAATAATAATTGTAATGAGGAAGGGAAGGGCTTAAAATGAGAGTGGTGTCTTAAAATGTTCATATGCTAAGATTTGCCTTTGATCACTTGAGTATTAAATCTAAAATTACAGTGCAACAAGCTTGTATGTCAGTAGGGTGGTAGCTCGGATTTTCTTTCAGTGTGATAACCTAGGGTTTCACAAGGATCTTTTCCCAAATGCATCAGCCTCACTGAGTGGACGTAGCATACACTACTTCACAACCTGGAGAGCTTAGAGATCTATCCTACAAGGGCAGTTCACCCCTTCAGTTGCTCTGCTTAACACACCTGCTGCCACATGGCATACCTCAAAAAACAGTTTCCAGAGCCGAGAGTTTGTGCCAGGAAGGTGGTGGCAGGGGTTCTCAGAGTGAACTGCCTTCCCGCACTGCACTCACTCATCTCCTGCTGACCCTGGGTTATTGGTGATATTCCATCAAAGCTGGAAGAGTAAAAAAACAAAACAAAACTGAGTAGTTATGATTTATCTGTTAATGCTGTGTTTTCTCTGCAATCATTACATAGCTTTAGAATGATGGAGAGTTGTAAGATATTAAAAGCAGTCACCTGCAAGATGGCCCTTCAGACACTATATTCTAATAACAGTATTTACCAGATGCTAAGAATCAAACTTTTTCTAACTTCCAGATGATTACCTGGTGCTGGAACAGACTGTATCTGAGCTAATTAATTAATTGCTTACGGAAATGTTTGCTGGCACTGAAGCCAGCTGGCACAGAACAGCCTGCTTGCAATCTATTAAGTTTTCCTCCTCTTAAAACAGGTGGTATGCACGCAAGTGTGCAAGGCGAACAGTCTACATACAGCTGACCCTGAGCTATGCCTCAGGATTGCTTGAAAAAGAACTTCCACCTCCATTCCTCCCAACCCTGGCCTCAACTCTCAGTACAGAAGATGTCATTCTAAAGTCTGGGAATGTGCTTTGGCACTGTGTTCTATTTACTATGGGAAACAAGGTTGCATAATCCCTTCTATTTCTAAACAGGTTGCTTTGCCAGCATGTGTTGAAAAGTGTTCTCACAGGGAAATAAATAAAACTTTGTCCTAGTTCATTTCATATGTTAAGCTTGAAGGCTTGTAGAATTCCTCATTGCACTTTTCTGAACTTTGGGCATTGTTTTTGCTTTATAAAATATAGGCACACTGAACCAAGGACGTATTTCTGTTGACAGATAATGAATGGGCTGTTTGAAAGGTTCTTGACATTTGGGTTATATATTTTGACACCATCTGAAAGTAAAGTGAAAGCACTCATCTGGAGGCGTGTGCACAATGATGGCTGTCCAGGTTGAAGAAGGATTTAAGCCCAAACTGGTTCAGAAAACAACTGTGTACTCCACTGATTGTCTAATACCTAATTACTGTAGTGCAGAGACTAAAACAACATTCATATTTAGCATAGAAATCTCAAGATGAATTAATACAGAACTACAACCACTAAAAGATGAATGAGGGTAAACACATACAGGGAAAACAAATTAAATTACAGTTTTGGCATAAGTGTGGCTGGCCAGGAATACCTGTAAACTGGAAATTTAAAGAAACTGTTGCAGTTAGAGCAATGGGATTTTGGAAGAGTCTTTCCAAATACAGCTGCAGAGATAAAGATCTCACCAATTTTTAGAAGGAATTTTGGTTACGTTATGAAAATGATTGCCTGGCTTACAATACAAATAAGTTGCACTGGACCAGGTTTCTTAGCATATATATTTTGCATTCTAGTGATAACTACAAGAAAGCTTTACAGACAGGTTTTCTGGAAAGGATAGCATTCCATTGCTCTAGTCTTGTCTCACCAATGTTCATGATTTTTTCCAATTTTATAAATTTTTATTATTTTTTTCCCTTCCATACCTGTATGTTTTTTTTAAATTACTGTTTCTGGTACCTAAAATATAAAGGTCTGAAAAAGTTAATTCAATCTTTAATGTTTTGGCAATTGACGTTTTTACCTCCTTTTCAATAAGCTCAGTTGCAAGAAATCATGCCATTTATGAGAGGAGGAGACATGAGATTTGCTGTATTATTTTGAAATAATCCCTTTGTTGAAAGTGGCTTCTGTATTAGCGTTGATTGACCGTTCTGCCATGTTTCATATGGCTGTAAACACAAGTTAATAGAAAATTAAATATGTAAACAAAGTCTGAACACTTACACATAAAATCACAGCTTTTTTTTTTCATTTAGGTAATTTTAAAACAAATTATTCAACTGAACTGCAGGAATATTTCACCTGCTATCGGAATGCAGCAATTAAAATCGCACAGTAGTACGGGGCTGAAAATAAGCAATAAAGTGCATCTGCCTAGGTGCTTCATTTTATGTGGATCATGTCCTTCCTGCCATAAGACATACCTACTACGCATTGGCAGGGTGTTGTGGCCTGAGTGATTTTTTTCAGATAATTTGGTCTTTAAAGCAGATTTTCTAGTAAAAATTTGGTGAAGTGGTGGAATATTTGTGTATTCTTTCAATGTAAAGAATGTAAAGTGAATGGAAAGCTTATTTACCATAGGGTAGCTTTCACCAATATCTTTTTAAAGTGCATTCAAATTGTTTCAAAAGCCAGGAAAGCCTCTGACTAATTTAATTTTTTTTTTCCATATTTTCTGGTTTTGCTTATTACAAAAATAATAGTTTGTATATAGCTATTACTTGTGTGTGTTGGTACCTACTAGTTGAAGGTGGAAAAAACCAAGAAGTTAAATAAAGTTTTGCTTTATTTCCCTAGAAAAAAATGTATAAATAAACGAATATAGAAGCTAGCTCATTTTTGTCCGCTCAAAATATTATTGTTCAATATCTTGCAGACGTTTTAGTGTCTAGGTCCAATAGCAGTGGCTATCTTTTGTTTTCTGATCCTTTTTTTGAAGTTCTCGAAGGAAAATAGGGATGCAGTGAGAAATCTTTGCTAGTTTTCATGTTGATAGGATATAGCGTGCTTGTCTAGCACTTCTATAGGAAGCTTGGGAAGTTGTGGTTAGGAGCAGCGGAGTTTTCTGGGGTTTGGGTTTTTTTTGTTTGTTTTGGTTTGGGGGTTTTTTGTTTGTTTGTTTGTTTTTAAACATGCATAATCTGTTTTCTCTGTCCAGAAATGCATTTTCAAGCCATATCTTGAGCTAAAGTATGGTGATAACTGAGGTTGTTACATGAGTGTAGGTAACCTAAGTCATGGATTCAGACTTCTTTAGATGCGCTGTTCTCAGCAAAAAAGTACTTGCCAACAGATTGCCTGACTTTTATCAAACTCCCTCGTATCTGTCCTGTTTTTAATATGCTTTAAAATAATTTTTAATGATAATGTATGTTAAAACTATTTTTATTCCCACTCTTAGCTGCATGTTGATGGCTCATTTTGAACAGCCCAAAGTTACAGATGATGAGGAACCTCCCACAGAACAAGACAAAAGGAAAAAGCTGGTAAGTTTTTTGCCTTTGTATTTGGTTCATCTGTTGTTCTTGGAAAATGAATCTCTTGAATAAAAAAATAAATCTCTTGAATAAAAAAAAAATCTCTTGAATCAAAAATCTCTTGAATAAAAAAATCTCTTGAATAAAAAAATTAATCTCTTAAATAAAAAAATTAATCTCTTGAATAAAAAAGGAATATTCTCTCATGATTAACTTTGCAGCCACAACAGTTATGCTTCTGCCTTCCTTTTGAGTCTTGGAAAATATTGCCAAAATAAACATCATCTGCTCATAAAATATGGACACTTCAGTGACAGTATGAAAAGAGTTTTTTATAAAACATAGCTAACACTCTAAGATGAAACTGTCATAGCACGCCAAATTTTCTCATATTTAAAACCAGCTTTTATTACATTGGTTTGTGTTTTACGTGCACAGCTATTGATCCATATGCTTGCACAGAACCTTCCTAATGTAAAGAACACCTAATAAGGACCATTGATTTAGGTGAAGATTTATGGATAGGTACCATGCAGTTGTGCTATTTTCATCCACCCTAATTTGTGAATGATTCATAATTCAGGTTATTTTTGTAGGAGTTCAGGGAAAATGCTTCCTCACACAGAAAATTGCAGTGCACAAATTCTGTGGAATAAGAGTCTAAACTGCTTGGCACAGAGTAATTGCGAAACGTGGAATCAAGTGATTGATAAGATGTGTGTAGCCTTGTCATGCATTTCGTTTAACTGACCTACATGTATCCAAAAGAGTACTTGTGGACAGATTACTTTCCTACTTTATTTCTTCTTGTACAAGCAGAAAAGAGTTTGGCTGGCTTTTGATAATATATCGTAGAATCCTAGAAGGATTTGGGTTGGAGGGGAGCTCATCTAATTCCACACCCCTGCCACAGGCAGGAGGACACCTCCCACTAGTCCAGATATTTGAATATTTGAAGTGAGAAGTAATCAAGAATGACCTAAAAAGAATCTGTGATTTGACTTAAAGTTTTTAGTATCCTGTCCCACTTCATTCCTGCAAGAGGTTTCTACCCAATTATGTGTCCTATTACTGAATCAGTAACTTGTATCATGACTTAGAGATTAAGCCTCATAAAACAACACTGAAAAAATAAATGGGATTCACTTTTTCAAAGTAATAACGCTTTGCAACTTTTAAGGCTATTAATATGAGAAAAAAAAGCCAATGGTGTGGTCCGTACTAAGTATCACTTCCCGGTTTGCACAGGGCCTAGATTTTTTTCTTTGATCTATCTCTTTATCCTGACATTGGTTCTCTTTATTATAATGCAGAGCTTATAATTACTAGAGACAATTTTATCTAGACCAGTGCTTTGTGATTTTATGTAGTTAATGTTCCCAGTACTGCTACATTTTAGTCTCATTGCACACATATTGAAGAAAATACGTGAAAGAAAGAAAACAGGAGGAGAGTGATTCATGACCTTATATTGCACAGTGTATAGACCTCAGGCGGCTTTAATGTGCCCTTTATGTATGTTTTAAGAGCTCCAGTATTGTTGTTCAGAAAGGGAGTTAAGGTTTTTTTAACTCTTTTTTATTTGAAACTGAAAAATCTGTCTTAATCTTGAATTATACATGCTGGTACATGTTTCAGATGATGCTTGCATGTAAATGTGAAAGTCTTGGCAGTTTTTTTATTTTACCTTATTATGGGAAGAAACTAGATGAATTGTCATCTTGTGTCTTCTGGGAAGTAAATAAACGAGTTACAACATAATAAACCAAATGATCAAGTTTTATGTGATAATGTGGTTTACTAAAAGTAATACTTCACTATTTATAGTTTCTCCTTATACATTTAGTCTGCAATTTAGCTACAGATCTAATGCAAGTCCCACTGAAATCTGTTAAAAACCTTTGCTATTCAGAGTCTTCTGTATTATCTGGCTGCATTTTACAGTCACTGTTTAAAGGTAAGATTCCCTCCTTGAATCATTTTTCTGGTCTTACCCAGAGCATCACAGTCACAAGATACTAACCATCATGGTAAATATACATCATTTTGTGTCCAGGATTCTCTCTCCCTCTTTAGTATCAAAATATCCATTCTTAAACTGAAGAGAGTCGCTCAACTTCTGGAAATATTTTAAAAAATTTAATTCAAATATAACCATACACTCTGTTTTGAGTTTTATTGGTCTTTTACCTGTCCGTGCATTCTAATGCCATTCCGTTGGCTTATTATCGCTTGTAGTGATTAGATCACTGTTTCAGTACAGAATAACTTGAAATTATTTATCGAAAACAGTGTGATTTTTGACTGTAGTGTTGTATAAAGGTGTTGAGGAAAGAGTTCCACCTATCAAATACTAGTTCAAACAACTGATAGTTCTGCAGAATGCCACTGATGCTGGCCAAACGATGTTTAGAGGAATGGGAAATGATTGTTCTGTAAAACCTCTGTACTGGTTTTCTGATACAAACTGCTGTTTACAACCAGTGAGGTGGAAGATTAGTTTCTCCAGTCCAGCCCTAAGGTAGGCACCCGTATCCAGTTTTAAAATCAATTTGTAGAGTAACTAGATTCAAAAGCTCAAATCATGTTTTCACTGAGCAGCATAAAGCACCTTTCAATAATGTGTATTTCCTCACCAAACTTGTTTCCTGGCTGTACCTGTTTTGACTAAGAAACTGTTGGAATTTTCTAGGTTTTACATTTTTATTTATTTATTTTTTAACTAGTATATAGGTGTGTGTTGCTCTTACGGGAATCAGGAGCAGTAAAGCAAAAAAAAAAAACAAAAAAATAAAAGAAAAAGTCTCTGTGCACCCACTTAGGAATTCAGCATACAAACTTACATTAAAAAATACGGCCCCTTACCCAGCGTTTACAGACTAAGTAACCAGTGTTAATGTTGTTGTGTTCCATACTGCACTGATGTTGGGTGCTCAGCTCTTAGCAAGCTGGAGGCTCAGTTTTCAAGAGGATGATTTTTCCTGCAAAAGCAAATAGAATAATCTGAAAACTTCTTAAGGGTCTTATCTGAAACCATTTGAATTTTTCATAATGAAAATACAGTCAGTAAAGAGCAGTACTTACTGTTCTTCCAGACTTACTGTTCTGCTGGCTTATTCATCTAACACTGCAACTGATTATCTAATATTGTTGAAGAAGTAATTATATCAAGCTATTTTGTAAGGTTTTTTTGTTCTGAATACAAATTCCAGAAACAGAGAGTGAAAGAAAAGCAAATTTAATATTGTTGCAAGAAACTCCTTTAATTTACACAAAATATTTTTGACATGACTATCTGAATGAAATCAAATTAGTGTTTTAACTCCTTAATTATGTGTGAAGGCTCTTGAGTCCATTTTGGCTTACAGACACCAGACACGAGATGATACTTCTAGCATCAAGCATTAGTCATGCACATGGTTGTTGCAGTAAACTAAGCAGGTTTTTTGTACTGGATTTACATGGCAAGATCTTGGTAGCAGAGGAGCTACTGGGGCGGCTTCTGTGAGAAGCTGCCAGAATCTTCTCCCATGTCCAGTAGAGGCAGTGTCGGCTGGCTCCAAGATGGACCCACTGCTGAATAAACTCTGAAATATGAAATTACTGGTTAGATTAATTTGTGTTGGTAAAGTGGAATGAAAAATTACCTGAAATTGATATTTTACGGCAAATTGTTCTGACTTCACAATCTAATTCTGTCTCTGCCAGAATGAAAATTGCATAATCCAGCTGGACTGATGAGGTTGTATAGGTACTGCTACTGAAGTGTGTCTGTTCTTTATGCATATGAACCTGTTGTTTATCATATAATTTCAAACTAGTTCAATTTTTTGTGTTTTGTTTCCTTACTAATAAAATATAACTGACCATAATACTTGCCATCTCTAAAGTACTTATGGTAACATCTGATGTGGTTTTTAGGAGTTATAGGAAACTCATTTGGTAGTATTTAATGAAGCTGCTTTGAAATTGTTTCATCTTGTAGAAGGGTGAACTCTTGCAGCAGACTGGATCCATGATTTGAGGCTTTTGAAATAGTTTTAGATGGATACCTGCCTTTAGTAAGAATTAATTTGATCTTTGCTTTACAGTTCTTCCTCTTATCTCTCACTTAAGTACAAAGAAAACAAGTGCCTGTCTTGAGATGAGGAAGTCTCAAGAGTGTCTTCTAGTGCATGCTTAAATGTTTTTCTCTTACATGTTTTCCACAGCTTGCATTGAAGGACCCCGTTCACACTGTGTCATTGCAGCAGTTCATCTATGAGAAGCTGAAGGCACAGCAGGAATTACTGGGAGAACAAGGTTTTCAGGCACTTATGGAAACCGTGGATACAGAAATAGTTGCACAGCTACAGGAGTTTTTACAAGGCTTCTAAACAAGCAGAAACAAGATTTTGTATGCACAATTTTCCTTTCAGAAAAATTTTAAAGAACTCTAGCCTTTCATCATGCATGGAAGAGCCAACTGAAAGCTGGAAATAATTTGTGTTAAAAAATGAATTTTTGTTGTTGCTATTCAGCTAACTTTGATAACGCTTTGTTATTTTTTTAATAATGGACTTATGGTTTTATCATCAAAGCAACACTTCCATGATACCTACATGGTATATACTGTCCTAATAGTACCTTTTTTTGGTACCATTACTGGTTTTTGGTTCACAAAGCTGTGTCGTAAAGTCAGAGGTCTGAAAGAACTTAGTAATATATATTAATGAGAGGTGTCTATTAATCCAGCAATATAATTCAATATTAGGAGCTGCTTGTCTTGATACTGTATACCTATAACTGTCTTCCTACTGTAATTTCTTGGCTGTACATTGAACCATCATACAAGCAGAAAGAATGGGGAAAAGTAGTTAAGACTGTGAGTAGAAACATTACTTCTTAGCAGAATGTTAATTCCTGTTTGAGTTGTATCAGAGAAAAAGAAGCTTTGACTGTAATGCTTAAATTGTATTTGAAGAGATGTTAGAGAATATCAATGTATATCTCTGTCTGAAGATGTGCTTTCATTTCATCACCAGTTTTTTTGATTTCTGTTATGAAAAGATTCTTGCTTTCTTGAGTTCTTTCTGTCTCACTTTTAGCTGTCAACACGGAGGAACTTAACAGAGGTAGATGAGTAATTAATTCCAATTAGTTCTTGGCTATACCTGGGCTGCTTAAAATTGCAGTTCTCTGTTCAATTCTTTGCTTTTTTTCATCAATGGCGTATCTTGTGGATACTTGTTACTGAAAAGTTTGAGCCCAGGTGGTCAGAACTGAAATAATTGTTTGCAAATGTGAGGCTCACTTTGAGTTTTAGTTGTCACCTGGCCAGCTGCAGGAATGACAGGGTACAGATGCTCCTTTCTATATTCCTTTGTCTTTTTTTCCATTGTGAATAAGAGGGGTGAGAGAAGGCTCTCTTCCTTTTTGAGATTTCTGTTTTAAATTCTGATCTTCCATCTTTAAAGTTGAAGTGAATTTTGTTTGCTTCACTAAGGGATATCCCCCCTCTGCTCCCAAGGGGATCAGCTATTTAAAGACACTTGCATACTTTCGATTACCTTACCAGATGCTTTTAAAAAGCAGAGCCTTTTTCTTCACTGAGCATATGGGGAGTAATTTTGTTTGAAACTTTCCTTCTACTTTCAGAGGAAGCCAGACCATTGCATCCTTCTTTGGCTTCAGTGGCAGAGGCTGCTGGGGCTCTTACACCTCTGAATGCAAAATCTTCCCTGTACACAGCTGCCAGCATCTGTCTAGAGAAGTTGTTTCATAACTCTAATTTCCTGCTTGTTACCTCGGTGTAAGGAGCTTTGTTAGAAGGATTGTTAACAACTGTTTGTATGTTATCTGAGTGTCATTTTCTCAATCCATCCACCAACATAAATTGTCACAAGTAGGAGTTTTGGGTAGTTGTGTTCGATACTTGCAAGGAAAGGGACTATGCATGTCCTTTCAGTTGTGAACTGCAGTACTTGGCAGCATGTCACTGAAATTGCTTTTGTTGAATAGTTAATCCACAGAGACCCTCATCTTCTTTCTCCGTGTAAGACTGGCACAGATTTGATGGGCCTTGCTAGCTTTGACCCTGCGCAGCACAACTGCATGGCATACATAAAAACCTCAGCAGTACTGTTCTTGTACTTGTTCCATTCGGTAAAATCACTTCTGCAGTGCCAGATGGCAGTCCAGGGCATTTCAGAGGGGGGGTGGTCCTACTTGCTGTAGTCCATCCCTGGCCAAAAGGAAGCGCCCTGGATTTCTGCTGTATGGCTGAGACTCCAGGCTCCCTGGGCAGTGTCTGCTGCATCATTCTCAGAGATACTCAAGCCCCCATTACCTCACGTGGCGGAGTGTTGACTGCAACTTATTTTGGTGCATGTTAACTAATGCTGGCATGGATTTTGTCAGGAGTGATGGACATGCTTTTGGCTAGTAAGGGCACAGTACATTGTGATTAACATTCTGAGTAATGTCTCTGAATAAGTGAGTGTACTCATTTTCCTGTGCATTAGGGAACAAGTTAAATTTGTCACTAGGTGTTTAGCTTTTAAGCTTGGAAGATTTTAGACCAAGGCTTGGACTATAAATGAAAAGAGTTGTCACCAGAACTGCTTATATGACAACCACTGTCACTTAGCATTCTGCAAAACATGTCTGTGCAGTGTAGTACTGAGAAAGTGGAGAAATTTCAGCTTAAACCAGCAGAAAAGCCTATATATTCTATCCCTATATATTCAATTCTTATACATAAGATTAATATTTCACTGGAAGGTTATGGATCAGAACTGCAGTAAGCGTTATCCATTTTTGTTGTCGAAATTTCTGACTTAAGGCTCTTAGAGAAGGGAAACCCAGCCCAGCAAATTCCCTGACACTGAAGCAGTAAAGTATGGTTTCTGAAATTCTTGTGAGGAAGAATCTTTGGTCCTGTTGCTGTTTGGGATTTGTTTTTCAAGTGAAAAAAAAAAAAAGAGATTTTTTTATTTTTTTTTCTGCAGCATAGTTGAACTAAGGCTTACAAGTTAAATCAGTTTACCTTTCAGAAGGGACAGAGTGGAAGGCAAACCTTGTCTCTGATAAGAGTTAAATGTCTTTGAAGGTATGTGTTGAATGAATTGAGAGGACTAATTCTGCTGCTTCCATCTTTGAAAAATGAATTTTATTGTATCAATGAAATGACCATTTTTAGACCTTTGGCCTACCTGAAGTGTTAACATATTTAATCTCATGGCAGCTGTTGAGGTTTTTATCTGCTAATAAAAGTAATTTTATCCACACACTGTTTTAATCCTACTAGGTAGTCTGGTTGTTTGTCTCATACAAAACAATTACTGGGATAATTTTAGATAACCTGAAGTATGGTAGATCATCATAGAATGGGTTGGGTTGGACTGTACCACATAGATCATCTGGTTCCAGCCCCCCTTACCATGAGCAGGAATACCTTCCACTAAACCAGGTTACTCGAAGCCCAGTTCAGCCTTTCATTGAACAGCACCAGGGGTGGGGCAGCCACAGCTTCTTTGGGCAGCCTGTGCCAGTGCCTCAGCACCCTCACACAGAAGATTTATTTTGCTATTATTTAGTTTAAATCTCTGTCAGTTTAAAGCCATTCTCCCTTGTCCTGTCCCTACATGCCCTTGTAAAAAGTCCCTCTCCAGGTTTCCAGAGACTGGAAGCTGCTCTAGGGTCTCCCCAGAACCTTCTCTTCTCCAGGCTGAACAAGCCCAGCTCTCTCAGCCTGTCTTCATAGCAGAGGTGCTCCAGTCCTCTGAGCATCTTTGTGGCCTCCTCTAGACTCTCAAGCAGGTCCACATCCCTCTTGTGCAGGGTGCCCCAGAGCTGGATGCAGGACCGCAGGTGGGGTCTCACCAGAGTTGGGGAGAATCACCTTCTCAACCTGCTGGTTAACCTTAAGTATGATAAGATTAGATAACCCTGAAGTATGACTGCTAACCTTAACTATGATAAAGCTATAGATTTAGAAAGTAAAATAAACATGTATATAAAATGTGCACGTAGACAGATGGGGCTGGGAGGTAACAGGCATTCATGTTCCTCCGTGACCACCCTGTTCCAGTGGGGCCAGGCTTGCCAGAGCCACGGCTGCAGGGATGCTCTCTGCCTCCCTCCTCATGACAGGCACCCTGCTGCTGTGGTGAGGCAGGTTGACACTCTCGCCATGCTTGAAATGGACAGATGAAGTAATGTGCTGCCATAGCATCCCCTGCCTCTCCAGGGGGGAGGTTGTGGCCTCCTGCCTTCACTGTAGTGAAGCAAGAGAGGGGTTTTTTTTGCATCATTTGCAAAGAAGTCCAAGGCCTGGGCCATTTCCCAACAACCTCCGGCATTCTGGTAGCCCGGGAGACTGCATGGTGCAGTGGGTGCTGCAGATGCTGCAAGGCTGCATGACATCCTGTCAGCCCTTGTGGGCAAAGCTGATGGAGAGAACTCTGCTTCATGCCACATAAGAGTGCTCACAGGACTACTGACAGAACAGAGGCATTCTGCTGGCCATGCCTCGCTCGGGAAGGGGCTCAGCGATTCCAGGCAAGCCTGAGAGGATTGGCAGGAGGGAAACCCAGCTCCTGCAGTGCTCTAGCACCTCGCTGAGGAAGAGCCATTGCAGTTGATCTGCAAGCTGCAAATATTGCCCTGAAGGAAAAGATGCCCAAGCACTGAAATTTCACCCTTCCTCTCATGAAGTTTTTTGTTTTCGAAGGTTTAAACCACAGTTTTTAGTCTAAAAGGGACTGCTCTATAGGGTGTACTCACCAGCAAAGCTTCTCACAGAGATCCTTTTTGTTTTCTTGTTGGTCCCAACAGGCATTGAGACATCTCCCCATGTACCAGGAGTGATGGCCAAAGTCCTAAGTAGAGTCACAGCTCATAACTGCAAATTGTAACAGATGGGCTCACTTCTCAGATGTTTCAGCAATGACAAAATCAGTTCTAAGATCATACTAGCACAGACATGCTCTCAGATTTACAGTCAACATCTTTCAATAATGTTTAGTAGGCTTGACTCCTCTTTTTTTATTTAGTTCCAAACTTGTGTGATGTTCCTGAACTGCAGTGTTCTTTGAACTGCTGAGCATACCACATCTTCACTTAGCAAAAGCACCACCTTTGTAATTAAGGTACACCTTTTTTAGGCTTTTCAAGGTAATTTACTTGCCTTGCTTCAATGCTGCTGCTTCAAAAAATAAATGATTACTAATTTTAAAGTGTTCACAATTTCCATCTTGCTGCTAGCTATAATTAATAATGATGACTAATCATCAGATAATCAGATTTGACTAGTTCTGCATAAACTTTTCATGAGGTACAATAGCTTGTTGAGATTTTGCTGACTGGGGAAAATGAAATCAAATTAGCTGGAGCCACCCCCCTTTAAAAAATTACTCATAAGGATTCATAAAGGGATTCATAAGGAGTGCTTTAAAATGTTACATCCTCTGTTCTCCGCACCACAAACGGCTGTGTACCGTTTTGTTACGCTGTTGTACTCTAGGTTACCCTGCTCTTGCAGGGGGGTTGGACCAGATGATCTCTCGAGGTCCCTTCCAACCCTTGGGATTCTGTGATTCTGTGATTCTGTGTACTACTACACTGACTCGTATATAGTGCACTTGCTTAAAAATATTGATCATGAAGGAATTTATCTTCAAGTTTGCATGAAATCGGTGATCAGTTTCCAAGAGTGGTCTAAAATTAAGTGAAAATAGCAAAAGTGAATTGCTGCAAGCAAGCAAATTCCACTCTTAATACATAAATGTTACTGAAACATGGTCCTCGAAAGTTGATTATACAGAATAAAATCACACTGCACACCGAGGTACATGTCATTTCGGAAGTCAGCAGTGGCTGTCAGCAGGTGGCAAAGGATGTCTACTGGCCTGGAACTGTGCATGTAATTGACTTTTTCATTCTCTTTCTGAAGAAGGGAAAAATGGGCTGGTAAGAGTGTTGTACTTGAGCCAAGGTTTAATATTATATTATTATTTCTCTAGGTTTCGTAACCTGCTTTTAATAAAAAACAAATTGGAAGTCAAGCTGTCACCTTTAAACATGTCAAAAGCATACAACGTTTGCAATAAATAATTTTACGTAAAAGAGTTTGCTGAACTTGCATATTGCTTCAGGTGGTAGGAAACTAGTTTTCAGCTTCTGCATTTTATTAATGTCTGAAAAGCTTATGCATTTCTATTATGGAAAGCAGAGCTAATAAAGGGACACATTGGTGTTAAAAACAACAGCAAAAAATTAGTCATGTTGACTGTGATTGCAGGTTGTCATCACTTCCCACAGCGATTTTAACTGCTTCCTAGCAAGAAAGATTATTAAAGCAGCACTTAAAAATAGATAGAAAATGTTTAAAAGAAGCAAATGCTTGACCCAAAAATTACCATTGTTTTTCTAGGTTTGGTTTGGTTTTTCTTTCCACTGGCAAAAACCTTGGTGTAACTCAGGGAAAAGTAACAGAACACTGTGGGTCCTGTCTGGTGGTCAGTGCTTGTAGATTAAGCTAAGAATGTTATTCAGGAAACCAACTAAATCAGTCATGCAGCGCAGACAAGTATTATCCATTACCTTACCAATTTAAGAAAACTGGAACTGCTGATAGGTAAATTCTGAGCAGAGAAAGTGTAAATCTGGATATTTTGCTGCATGCCACCATTTCAAAGCTACACCGTGAATTGTTTCTGAGGTTGTTCTTCAGCTTTTAAAACTAGATTTTCTCCCTTTCAATGGGAAATACTCTGTTTATTGGAGCTATCATTTGATTTTCTCACTTTTTTTTAAACAAAATTTTCTTGGAGATTTTTTTTCAGGGTGCTGAAGAGCGCTAGAAACTCTCATAAAGCAGGATGCAGGAATCTGCATATGCATACAGAGCTTTCGATTCTGATCAACTCAGCTTACAAGGGAAACGCTGGAGACCTAGAAACATCATCTTCACCCTGACGGTTCAGCTACCCACTCTTTAAACATCAGGCAAGTGTGCAAGGAAGCACACAGGCATCAACTGTACATGTAGCAAAATGCTTTCATCTTGCTCAGCTGCTGAATTTTCTGCTCTGTATTTTCTGACTCAGTGCTACCAGAAGTTGCTTTTTGTTTTACTGCCTCTGTAGCAAGAGCCCGCTGCTTCACTATCACTTGTGTTTTTCAGCTTTTAAATGCATTAATTGAAATCCTTTGTGCAGGTCACGGAGCACTCTGAGCAGGGGTAAAACAGGCAGGAGGTTGATTAATCCAGCAGCTGTGGGTGTAAGAATCACAAGAGTCCTATATTCTTTTGCCTGCCTTCAAGGCTGTTTATGCACTTTATTCAATGGTACTGTAATGCACAATAGTCCCCAGATCCCCAGGGTTTTTTTCTAGCTTTTTGCTGCTAGCCACGCTCATTTGTTGAAGCATTTTGATGTATTGTCACACGTCTTAAATCAGTCCTGGAGCCCTGTAAGCAGAATTGTTCTGCTCCACGGCAGTTCCCTTTCCTCCTTGACCTCCTGAAATACCTGTGCAGAAATCATCGTTTATTTGTGCCTCTTTCTTGAGGTTCTGCATGCACAATGTCAAAGGTATGTCTGGGGGAGAGGAACTGGACTTTCAGAAAGCTTGGCAGAGAGGCTGGTAAGGAGGCTGGGTGTTTGTGCAGTCAAGAGATCCAATTCTTATATCTAAACCGCTGAGAGGTACAAAGCAAGAAGGTTAATAAGGAATTATCAATCTGGCAGAAGATTTAACAGCAAGATACCACAAGGTTCGATATTAAGACTGATTCTTATCAAACTTCATTTATGGTTTGGAAGTGTTGATGAACAGTGAACTGGGAAAAAATTGCCAGTGATATAGCAACTGCAAGGAACATAACTCAGCAGGGCAAAGGCTGATGAAGCTTTAGTGCTGGGAAATGCTGATCAGTCTTTTAACAGATGTTCAAAGTCAGCCCTTGTGTGTCATGTTTTCCTCAGGGCTGATGAAATGGAAACCTAGAGGGTCCCATTACTGAGGGAGAAAGAGAATTTGAACAAACCCACGCAGCTGGAAATGAGATTTCATGGGACTGTTTTGGCTGAGGGGTCCTCTTAAATCATTCAGCCTGACCCCTTACTTAAGCAGGGCCAGCTGCAGCAGGTCTGAGGGTGTGTCTGGTTGGGGTTGTAGTATCTCCACTGCTGGAGGACCCACAGCCTCTCAGGGCAACCCGTTTGATCACCCTCACAGTGAAAAGTATTGTCACCTGGAATTTTATGTTTCAGCTTGTGACCACTGCCTCTTGTCCTGCCAGTGGGCACCACTGAGAAGAGTCCAGCTCCCTCTTCTTCATTCCCTCCTATCAGGTTTATATACATGCTGCTGAGATCCCTCAAGATCTGGCATTCACTCTGGGGAGGTTTCAGGGGTACAAGTGAGAGTAAAGAATGGGCTGAAAATATCCTCCCTCTGTGGAAAGTAAAATGGGGAAACTCAGCGGTCTGAAGGTTTCTTGGTGTGGAAAAGAGACAGAATTGTTTGTGGGTTAGAACAGAGAACAGCTCAGTGTTACTGTGCAAAGGGACAGGGTGGACCCACAGTAAGAAGAGGATCTGCATTTCCAGAGACTGAAGGGGTCTTAACAAGAATTCTGTACTGAGGAAGTAGAAATACCTGAACTTTGATAAAGAGGATATGTCAGGAGCAAGACCAGGAGGAGTTAAGGATCTCTTCAGGAAAGGTGAGGTGGTATTTTGTTTGGATTCCTTGTAAAGGGAGAAATGCTCATTTGGGAAAAGGAAAACTGGGATTCAGATAAGACTTTCTGCCTTCAGGCCGACATCTGGCAAATTTATTGTTGAAGGAATGATTTGATCTCGTAGTGTTTGATGTTGAATTTGTTCACAAAAATGGACATCCAGAATAATTTTGTCCAGTTTTCTCAGATGAACTTGCACAATTAGAGGCAGATGAACCCTGAATCTATTGTTTAGTTTGGAGGCATCTTTTCTGCACCCAGCTATGTGCATGCTTGGATCAAACCACAAAACCAGCAGTTTTGGCTTGGACCATTTGTGAAAAAGTAAGGGTGATATTTACCTTAATTTGATATGGGGATGTTGACTGATTTTTCATGACAGCATGAGCAGCCCCAGGGATCTCATAATCTGTGGAGTTAAAGGCACTTATTTTAATAGGTAAGGCTATAAATGTGAGTTAAACAGTGAAAACATGCTGAAATCTTGAATGTCTTATTGCCCACAGGCACTGAATAGAATAATCTGGTTTAATTTACACTTTGTGTAAGATCATTTTGTAAATAGTACAATAATGTCATAAACTAGCTTTAGGAACTTATCAATGTTGTTTTGTTACTTTCTCACTACTTCAAAGTAACATTAGAGTGGTACAGAACTCCTTTGTGAGGAACTCTGACTAAGCATATCATTTATATAGCGGAGTATTTTACTCATTGCTTCCACCCTTAGGGCAGGCTGGTGCCCAGCACTGCAGGCTCCTGCTAGGCAGCATGAAGGGCTCAATAGTGCATTGCTCCATAATGCACTCTCTCACTGCAGTGGCAGAGGTGGGCACTGCAGACAAAAATGCTGCTCTATTATATATATATATATACATCTAGCATTCCCAAGTCAAGAAAGGTGGCCAGAAACACCATGTTTGGATCTGCATTTATTTAGGGTAGATTCAAGCAAGGCCTGTTATTTATGGCCCCTCATAGCAATAGTACGGGCTGAATTAGCCTGAAATGTGTAAGTTACATTCAAATTACTTCATAACTGAGCTAATAAACTTTGCCAGACCAAGCTCAACCAACAGCATGGCAATTCAGATGTTTCTATACCTATTGAGTTCCTAATCTGCAGCCTGGATGTTCTAAAACATCACTGAAAACAGTGTCTCAGCAACACTAAAGCCCAGTTAAAAATGCCTCAGTGTCTCTAATTTGTCCACAGTTGTCCTGCACTGGTAGAGGTGCAAAAAAACCCCCAGGGATCTAGATAACATGGAGTGTGGTCCCTTCATTTGTAGTACTGTTTGGGCTCATTTTGTTTTCAGAAAATGTACTGAAACTTAGAAGTCCATCTCTGTACTGTGGCTGTTTGAGTGTATGTGAGCTGGATGGAAGGGGTGTGAAGAGCAACCATGATTCAGGTCCTGAGGTGGGAAGCTCTTACTGGAGCAGCACAAGCCCTATGGGTTGAATGAACAGTGAAAATAATAGGAAAACTGCTTCCTGCTCACTCTTAGGGGCTCCATGAGGAGCTCTGACTATGAATATCGTTTATATAGCTGCAGTCTGAGTATATTTTACTCATTGCTTCTGTCCTCAGATCAGAAGAAAGCAAGAAATGCTGCTCTTCTCATCTTTTGGTTCCAGATTCTTCTTGAACCTCATTACTGTTTGTAGGCATAGTAAGTTACCTTCCTCTGAGCTCCCTACTTCACAGGTAAGGGTTGTTACTGTGCTAGTAAAAAAGGCTAGCTAAAACTCTTCTCTATTCAGTGTAATTTCTTGCTTTATATCACATTAAACTGACAAACTAAAATGAACAAGTGTTCTTAACTGAAGAGCTATGAAATGATGTGGCACTCATGATGCCTACCAGAAGTACCACAAGTACAAAGGCAAATTCCCCTGTTGGTTAAATTGCTATAGTCTGGAGCAGGCTGTAATTTAGCTATACCATGTCTGAGTTAAGGAGTGACTTATTCATTATTCCTGTGTTTAGCTAGTTACTGTAAATTTTGCTGAAAGCATATGTTTGCCTAGTGACACTGCATAAACAGAGACCAACTTCCCTGTAATAGGAGAGTCTCACTTAAACAAAACTTCCTGCTTAGGGACATGAGGAAAGGAAGAGCAAAAGCAACATAAATAGGATAATAGCAATTTTTAATGGTAGTATACAGGAGGCGAAGGTATAATCCTGTACTGAGTAGAATTGTAACAGTACATGCTAACAGCATGATTTGGTTTTCTGTCCCTGTAACTGATGAATAGAAAGACACCACTAGTAGCAATTTTTTTGAGAGGAGGTTTTCTGACTGCAGGATGCCCATTACAACTGAGAGGTTACTGCTTTTGATGTTCAGGAAGGACAGAGGGGAATAAAACTATATGACTTGTTTACATTAGCTTTACCAGACCTCTTTATTAAATTCTATGGCTGAATATGGGCAATGCCATTAACACCAAGTATCACCAATCAATCGTCTCATGTGTTCCATTGCACTACTGCTGTGGTGCTTCTGTACTAATAGAGAGGCTGTCAGCAGAGCTGAATTCTGCTAATTAAGCAAACACACCCCACCAGTCCCTGAAAAACAGCAATGTAGAATAGAAACCCATACATACTTTCCTCTAATACTTTGCTTCATAAATCTGTAATTTTTTCATATATGGGAAAAACAGGTGATGACAAATTGTCTCATAAAGATTTCATACACAGGAGTTTTGGTTGGTTCTATGATTTATAAGTAACAAAACAACTGCTTTTCCTGAGATTATTTTTTTTGAAACAGGCTGGTAGGATGCAGAAGGTATGTACTTAGTGTTCTGTTTTGTTTTGTTTTCTTTTACTTTTATCAAGAAGGTCAGGTACAATAGCTGCTGTAATTTCAACTATCCAGAACGGTTTTTAGTTTGCTTGTTTGTTTTGAGGTTTCTGGTAATGGGTTTTAATTCCCTTTCTTTCTGTAGTAGTATAATGACCTCAGGAATCGGTGTTTCCGGACAGAAAGCAAGTTCTGCCTTTCACATAAAGAATCATAGTTTGGGGTTTTAACTAAAAAAAAAAAAAAAAAATAAAAAAAAATGTGCAAGGCATTAAATTTTAAATCTGTTTTTCAGGACTGAACTGTATGAATTCCACGTTCATCCTTGGACTAGAGTTCTATGCAATAACAAACATCTGCTGTGAGCAATGAAAGAGGGATTGCTGTAAGATATATATGCTGGCACCACATATTACTTGAGATAGGATGAGCCATGTAATCAGAGAAACAAAAATTTCAACTTAAGTTTCAAGTCTAATGCTACCCTTGTTCCAGCTTTCCTCCGAATTGGATCCCAAGTTATTGCAGGATCAGCATGGATCCCAGGACTTTGGTCAGGATATACAAAGGATATACATTCGTTCTTGATGGCAGCTTTTGAAATCCTTGGTACATTTATGAACCTCCTTTTAATCTTTAATTCCTGTCATCAGAAATTTCCTGTCTCATTGATTTGTACATCATTTTTGCACACAACGTAAAAAAACAAGCTATAAAACTATGTAAAAGATACCGAACTGTCTTCTCTAGCATTATGTTTCAGCACTCAATGAGAGTGCAGCTCATTTTACCCAAAGAAGATTTCAGCAATTCCCTTACCAGGCTGCTTGCAAATGTCAGTCCTCTGAGCAATAATAAGGCAACAAGTAGGCTGAGAACAAAGCTGCTGATAATTCTGGTGCTACATTTGAAGGAAATGCGAGGGCAGTGATGGGTAGGAGTAAGAGATTTGTTTCTCCAAGGAAAATATTTGTGTCAGAAAAAGCATCAGGCACTATGAACTAAGCTGCTCACGAGCTACATGTGCTTTTAAGAAGGATGCTTAAAAACAATAGCCTGAAAATAGAAGATGGTATCCCATGGGTTATAGTGGACGGTTTGTGAGCCTCTGCAATATTCAGGTGGGATCTGTTTTGTGCAGCCTTATTGACAAAGTCCAGATGAAGGCTGGCTGGCTGCTAAGTCTACAGCTGTCACAGATTGAAGAGAGGGTGTTTGTTAGGAGACTCAGGAGTTCATGATGACTGAGGTGGTTGTTTGAAGAGATGGTGTTTGTTAGGAGACTCAGGAGTTCATGATGACCTGGGAGAAGTTTGTCCCCATGAGAAGCGAGTTGATTTGCATTTTTAGAGAATCATTACCCTGAAACCCGGGACTACCTGTGCGTGTTTGTACAGCTTTAGAACCAGTATGTGGCATGTCTGAAAATAGTTTTACTTTTCATAGGCTGCTTCCATCATAGGCTTAACAGTATGCATTATTCAAAGAAGAACTGTTTTAGTTTACTTGAGTTTTGTCTATGACGCATCTGGCCTGCCCTTTAAAAGACATCAATAATTTTAATGTATGCAAATACCTGTGAAGTTGCATAATTCTTAGTACATACACAAAGAGTGAGATGAGCCCTGTGGTATATAAATACCTTAGAATAGATGTGCATACATCAGAGTTGATTATCTTTGGTCCCCAGAAAGGTATAGTTTGAATAATTTGGAAAAATCAGCTGCAAAGATAGTAGTTTCTCTGTATGAGCAGTACAGCAACCAAGAGGTAGATGCAATTAGTCCATGGGGGAATGTACTATTTGTACTTATGGGAACTAGCTTTGTGCACATTATAAAATAAATAAAAAGGCTGCAATAACGTTCTTATAGTTGTTGATGATGTCTCTTCTGAAGCTGTTTAAACTGTTCTTTCACATTCCCCTATGGTTGTTGAACTCTCTGAAATTAAGGATAAAGTCAGGTAGATTCAGTCCCTATTGACTGTATTCCACTGATTTCTGCTCTGGCCTATAAAATATATGGATACAATTCTTCCTTCTCATTTTGCTATTAATGTTAATTCTACATTTACAAATCAGTTATAGGGTTTTTTAGGGATATGTAGAATTTGCAGTCGTTTGTATCTATCAGGCCTGAATCTAAAAATTAGGCCTCCAAACATTTGTCAGTAAGGGGAAATTGGTAATCAGCTTGTTCCAGGCATGCTTTTCGATATGCAGTTTTCTTAAATCCTTCTTTACTGTGTCTGAATCTTAGTATTGTTCTTCATAATTGTATCTTACCTCAGAAAAACCCAGTCAGTTTTGGGTTGACATGCAGTTCTTACAGTGCAGAAACTGAGATTTCCTGGGGCTAGCACCTCTAAAACCGATGCAAAACTTAAGGTACTAATACAGTAACAGCAGGCACTCACTCTGATGAAGCATATTTGATCACTGAGCCAAATATGAGGCTTAACTAAAACCAGCTTTGATTAGCATAGAGAGACTTCTGCAGAAGCTTTAGCACACTTTGGCTTCTTCACCTTTTGGGTATTTTTTCTCCTTTTCTGTTCCCTTTGCTCCGAGTCCTCTTCTTTGCAAGGCTTTTGCTGTAAGCAAGAGAGAAGTAATCTATATGCTTATAGCAAGGCTGATGACATGAAGGGCTTTAGAAGAGTTTTACTGTTCAGTGAAAAAAAGCTGATCTTCATATGTAGTAAATGGTTTTCTTGATAGGCTTTTAGTGAGAATGTTATAGTATTACAGAAGACTGTGTAATGATGACAAAGCTTAATACTTAAAAGCGTTCCTGGAGATACAAAGATGATGCAATGGTTTGTTGAGAATGCTGTGGTTTTAGTGTGCTTGCCAAAAAAGCTGAGACAGAAATTAATTTTCCTTTTTTTAAAAAAAAGGTAATACCAACTGAAGAATTCCACTTGAGGTAGTGGAATTTGTCAGCGGCTGTTTATTTGGGCCAGTGTGTTAATAGAGTTGTTTAAAAAGGGTAAGCAGGAGAATTTTTGAAGGTCTGGAAGTTTGGCTTTTGTGGTTCAGCTCACTAGAACCTGCTGATAGGATCTATTCTTGTCCAGAAACAAAGCTTTAAAAATAAAAAAAAAGTAAGCACTTTGCACTTCTTACCATTTGCAGCTTTTCAGTAATAATTGCAGTGTATATATGTGCATATGTTGAGTGGGAAGTTCGTAGCTGTTCATCAGTTAACTATTATGGACACTCCTATTTTTACAGTATTGCATTTATTTGCTGGAGAGAGTTCTGAAAGGTTCTTAACTGCTGTTGGTGTCTTTATTCTGATGGCTTTTATATTATGCAGGTTAAAGCAGGAGACAGAGAGCCTTAATAAACTGGATCTTGGTCTCATTTTTGTTATCAAGTCTCAGGGAAGTTCTGTTTATCATCAGCAGAGTGTAGCGAATGGCACTAATGGCTGCCTCATTGGTTATATCATGTTCTGAGGTTAATTCAGTTAGTGCTGAATGCTGTTGTTTCAAAAGATCAGAAAAAAAGTCATTTTGATTAAAGGATTTCAGGGATCTCTAAGTTTCAAAAGGCCACATAAGGTCTGATGGAACCAGAACCAGCTATGTTGTTGTTGTTGAACTTAATATTCATACTGAGCAACAATTGAGATGTGCTGATAAAATAGCAAAATAGTTAAAAAAAGATACAATAAGTTCTTGTGCACTTCCATTTTCTCTCTGTAGGGTGGGGTTTCTGGAATGAGAAAAAGGATGTTAAAATGGGAATTAAAAATGTAAGTGTGCTGTTCTGGACTGTTAATGTCCAGTAGGAGAAGGTCAGAAACTTGTATATTGTCTCAAGGCAGGAAACCAGACAAAAAAAAGTAAATTCTGGTGGGATTTCAGCCCTGTTTTGCAAACCAAACAGCTCGGTTGTGCTGAAGTTTAGGTAAACGTCCAAACTTTGGGATCTTTGTCTGGGTGTGTTTCCTAAACCGCTTAAAGCTCACTCAGTAAAACCTTGTGCATTCTTGAAATACAGGAGCTGAGTGACAAACCCTTGTCTCTGACAGAACTGTTTAAGTCAGCAGGACACAGGACTTAGCACCAAAACTTTCCAGGAAAACCACAATGGATGCACTGGTGCCATTTCTCATAATTTTGTCTGAGGCAGGAGCTACTTTCACAGCCTCTTATGTTGTGGGGTAACTTTCATTCATCGCTACTTCTACTTTGTGTAATGCTTTTGCCTTGGTATTTTTTATAGTACTTTCTCATACCAAATAATGCCTTGAAGACTAAAGCTGCAAGAAATTTTTACTATGCTCCCTAAAGCTAGAGTGTGAGACTTTTCAGTGGTTTGAGTAACATATATAGATACATATATGTATACAGATAAATGCAGAATTTTCTTCATTTTAAAAGCAATATTCTATGAATCAAAGGTATTAAAAATATTATTACAGTAATGAAATACTTTTTTGCTGCCTGGTTTATTTGATGCCAGACCATGATATGGGAGGAATTTTACGAACAAGAATTGTATGGGCAGAGGTGAATCCTCTGTCTTTCCTGTATTTGAGGCACTGACTCTGGTCATGTTTTGTCAGACCCCTTATGGTTTGCAGCAAGCAGAGAATGGGTAGGTGCGAGAGTAAAAAACTAAATCTATATGTTACAGAAATTAGCACTGCAGATGGTACAACTCCTTATAAATACTTTGGCTTCTTTATGTTGAAGAGGGGGTTGTGCATTGGGGCAGGAAGGTAGCAAGCATGAAGGTGGCAATTGTACTTGTCTAGGAAACAGAGGTCATAAAGCTGGAAAGCACAGGGAAAGAGGCCAGCTGATCCTGCCATACTAGCTGTATATTGTCACCATATTGTCACCCTGGTTCAGCTGAAAGCTCAATGAATTGGTCTGTGATTTGGGGTTTGTGTTCTATTTTGTTTTGTTTCAAATGTCAGATTCTGCAGTGCTGCCGGTCGATGGCAAAGAGCCAGAAGGTGTGGGGCTGGACAGAACCCAGATGGGATTTTGTTGTCTCCATGCTTTCCGTGTCCCTTCCAAATTTTCCACTGTGGATTAAAATGGCTTAAGCAGCAGTGCCAAAGCTTGGGAGACTTTCCTGCTCCTGCTGAGAGGGCCAGTATTCCAGACTGGCTGCCCTTCCTTTGGATGCTGTGTTGCCATCCTTGGGAACAGTGAAGACTAATGACTTTCATTCCAGGGAGAGCTTCTGGAGCAGCCACCCCAGAAGTGGAGGTCAGCACAAGAGCTTCCTCTGGTACTAAAACTGCACGTGGGAAGCAATGCTTGTCCAAAAATATAGACTAAACAGGACTTTTCCTGCCTTGCTATTACCATGCACTAGTGTTTTCAGGTGGATGGGAGAACAATGTCCTGGGTACATAGAGAAGTACTGCTTACAGTTAGGCTTCCTGTTCACTTCCTTACTCTCAAAGGCTTCCTTACTTCTCCTCTAAGGCTGAATCTGCCCCTGTTCTAGAAGTTATTCACTCTCCCTATCCCCAGTTTTGTTCCCAAATTCAGTTTGTTAGTGGAAAGTTGTCTGTTTCAAAGATTGGTGCTTTCTCTGCACACATCTAAACATCATTATATCTGAATCTTATGTTGTGTTTGATAAATACAGTTTCAACAAAACTTAAATTCTTTTCCCCAGAAAAGCAAACCTGGTAAACACCAGCTCCCATTCCTTCCTATGATTGCTTGTGGAGAGAGCTAATCAGTAACTCTTGTTAGAGAGGAATTATTGTTGTTGTTGTTAATGTGAAACTAGTATTATGTTTGTATTCAGCAGTCTGATCGTGGGTTAATTGATCCTGTATTCCAACTCAAGAAGTGGTAGCTCTTTGTTGTACCTCTGGGTACCCATTCTGGCTTTCTTGTTCGAGAAATCAAGCATCTGCATTCATTAGGTGTTTCAAATGTTATGTTGACTTTTCAGAAGTCTCTTCTGAAATGTAAAATTATGTTTAGAATTGCCTCTTCGGTTTTGTCTGAAAATTGCATCTTTGGTTTTATGAGGATTGACTCACGTAAAAGCTAAAAATTTCCCACCAGGCATTTCTTGATTTTGTGATATTTGCCTAAAGAGCCTCAATTCAGTTTAGTTTTCTGTAATTTTAACATTTCTGCATTGTCTGAATAACAAATTTGTTAGATATTCTAGGTCACTCAGGCCTTTCATTTTGAAGGTACGTTTCTGCTGACATACCTTACCATCTTCTGTTTCCTACAATATGCATGCAAATTAAGTTATTGACAAGTGAAAACAAGATTAAATGTATGAACCACAAACCTGAACAAACCACAGAAAGATCAGAAGGGACTGAAGCATTTACTTGCACTTCATCATTTTGTAAATGACTACATTAAAGGAGAAAGTATTCACTCAAAAGAACTTGGATATTTTTTTCAGTCAGCTCAGAAATATGAACTGTAGCAATCATCCTAAAAGATGAAAATGTTATTAGACAATCACTTTTTGTCCTTTCCTTACTCTCTGATAAACTGAGATTATGATTAAACGAGAGAGCAGATAGCTCTCTGCAGATAAAGCACAAATAGGTTTTACTGCTCCAAGCCATTTCTTCTCAGTGTGTTTCTGACCCTAAAGGTGAACAAAAAAGCTGCAACCATAAAAATAGCAAGAGGGAATTGCACAAAGCACTTGCAAGGGTATAGAGTTTTCAGAGGAATCAGATGGGATGGATGATTAGGGCATTGCAGCTCTAATGTCTTGAATTGTGAGCTTCTGCCTGCTTTTGCTTTGTTAGCAGATTCTGGATGAGGTGCTTGGTTCAGAGGTCTAACATTTCTTGACCCTTTGTTGCTCGAGACATGTTCTTCACCCATCTGTCTCAGCAGGATGTGTAAGGGTAGCTTAAATTGCCCTCTTTAAGCACTGCAAATAAATAGATTCCATGTTAGTAGTGACTCTGGACTGTGTCTGGAAAAGGTATGTCTGTAGTAACATGTGTTTGTTATCCAGCTATGAGGATCAAATATTAAATATCTATATCTGCTTCTCAGATATGCTGGTGAGTTTGCAGTTTGCTTTGTGATGTTTAGTTTTCAGTTGTAAGAATTAGGATAAAATTAATTTTAGTTCAGTTAAGCATGATTTGATCTAACTTCTTGCAAGTGCCAACTGGAATCAGTTTATATTTTGAACAACTATATATATATATTTATAATGTTACCTGTGTGCGTGTATGCACATACAGATTTCTCAGGATTCTTTGATTTTTTTTTTTACTTTTAGCCAACATTGATTTCATCATAGATATTACCCTTTATGGAGGTGTGGCTAATGGTCCTAAGTAGATTTGTGGGATTCTTTGGGTTATTTCATTGCCCCATGGCCTGAAATATCTCTAGTAAAAAGGTTAGAATTTTGCCATTCAGTTGAATGTTTCCCTTGGCCTGTAGATCTAGAAGAACTACTGCAAGCTTGAGAAATAGAACAGATAAAAAAGGCTGTCATCAGTGGTCAGTTCTGTATACCCTTTGTGTTAGCGGTTTCTCCTAATTTAGCTCTATATTGTACTTTCCTGCGTATGTATCCTGCCGTCACTGTACTTTTATGTTAACGTTGATCCAGGATGGACTCATTGTATAAGGCAGAATTGCGATGGCTTTTTCATCTGCAGCATGATGACTTGCAGAGCAAGGGAGAAGCAGCGCAGCTTATCCAGCAGAGGGAGCAAAAGCACCGCTTGCCCGCTTCCAGGTGCATCCTCAGAGCGATGGCAGCATTGCCATGGCTGCAGTGATCACTTTTACGGAGGGTAGCAGAGCACGCCCTGAGCACCATGCTCTTGCTCTGCGCAAAACCAGAAATGTGATGCTAGGATCTGTCAATAAAATGTTACCCAAGAGACTGCCAGTGCTTACCGCAGGACTTCTGCGTTCCTGCTGGCTGCCTGGAGCTGCTCCTGAGGAAGACCCAGAGGTGTCCTGCAGACACAAGGATTGTGCAAATCTGTACTATGGCTGCAGGGAATAACTGTAAGTTTATGAAAAGGTGAGTTGGAGTCGGTTAGGTTTGGAGGAAATGAATTGTTC